ATACAAATACAGAAGACATCAGATATTAAATATGTCTAAATTAATTAGGATAATATATCTAATAATATGATACTATGGCCTATATTTCATTAATTTTATTTCAGGGTTGGAGATGGAGTTTTAGATTCAGACATGTACATATATGAGTAAATTTTTAATTATTAAACATTAAATTTGTTAGGAAGAAATCTGTTGTGAAAATACGTATATATGCTATAGGTATATAAACAGATCCTAATAAAAACCAGTTGTTGATTAAGTAGATAATAAGCCAACTTTTCCTGGTGTTTTAAAGCCCCAATTAATGTTTCATGTGCAGACACCAGACACCTTTTCACAGCTTCCCACGGAGCAGGTGCAGCTATCGTTAGAGCTGATTTTATAACTTTAGGATACTGACTTTGGAGTGAAACTTGAAGCTGATTTCTTAAAAATTCCCATTTTTTTTGGTGGAGGTGGAGGTAAGGGAAAATCGTAATGTCGTGGCATGCCAGGTGGTTCACATGTCTCACAGCCATTGACCCGCAGGTAGATGGAGCTCCATGTGATGCCCAGGCTGAGAGAGAGCCCCGTGGCGACTGTTCACAGGTGCTCTGGTTCACCGTAACACACGTGTGCAGTGAGTGCTTTGTAAGAAGACCTTCGCCCTTTTTTTTTTTTTAAGATTTTATTTATTTATTTGAGAGAGCACAAACAGGGGAAGGGGCAGAGGGAGAGGCAGAAGCAGACTCCCCGCAGAGCAGGGAGCCCGATGCGGGGCTCGATCCCAGGACCCTGGGATCATGACCTGAGCCGAAGACAGACGCTTAACCGACTGAGCCACCCACGTACCCCCACCCCGTCTTTTTGACTTTGAAATTTGTTATTAGTGAAACTTCCTGATTGTCAGTCAGCCTTGAGAGTTTTGTTGTCTATTTCCAGAAAAAGTAGAGGGTTGACTTTGGAGTGTATGCCCTACTACATGAGCAGACTTAAGCTCATAGTCCGTTTTCCACTGAGACTGCCATCAGTTGTGCGAACACACCAGTTACTTAGATTGCAGGCCCATCGTTTTTGCTAAAGCAGCAGTGAAGGGGCATACATTAATTGGAAAAGCCTAAATGCCGCTCAAACACTTTTTTCATAATATTTATCTTTGAGCAACTGGAGAGGAGCACAGGATCTCTGGGGCTTGGTCAGAGTTGTGCATCATGGTGCTTCCGTTGTCATTCCGGTCTTGGCAAAACTGAGACCAAGCTGATTATTCTTTTTTTTTTTTTTCAAGATTTTATTTATTTATTTGACAGAGAGAGACACAGCGAGAGAGGGAACACAAGTAGGGGAGTGGGAGAGGGAGAAGCAGGCTTCCTGCTGAGCAGGGAACCCGATTCAGGGCTGGATTCCAGGACCCTGGGATCATGACCTGAGCCGAAGGCAGACGCTTAACGACTGAGCCACCCAGGTGCCCCCAAGCTGATTATTCTTTAAGCCTTGGACTTGGACTGGTTTTGGTTGTTTTTTTTTTTTTCAGGAAGGGAGACAATACATAAAATAAATTGGATCAAACTATCTAATCTTTCATCTGTTATATTCTAAAGTAATGTCAAGTTTTTTTCTTCCCAACTGCTACTTATCTTGCTATTCCTGTGCCAGTTAAAAGACTTCCTTCTCTAGCAGGTGCAAATATGGACCTTTTACTCCTTTCATGTCTTGTACTGTGGGGAGGTTGGCCTATGCTGTGCACAGGCACGTGTCCCTGCCCTTGACTAGTCACATTAGTAATTAGTCAAAACCAGGATACTAATTAATATGAACTTAAATTGACATTTTGAGAGGGAAATGTATCTGCATTGGAATACACAGAGACTTATACTCTCTTCTCTACTAAATGCTCGGCATATCCTGCACTCTTCTTTACTAAATCTTGTTAGCAGAGGCTCAGTCAGTGGTGGCAGAAGCGTGTAAAGCCACAGGGAAGGCTGAGCCAGTGTTTGCTTTGACTAATTCAGGGGAACATTCGGTAAATTAAAATGGGCAGGTGGCAAGTCTTTATATGTTCTGTACTTGGAGTAATTATTTGATATGGCTTCGTACTCTTAGATTATGTTGGTGCATGCCCATTAAAAATGAATAGGGAATGGTTTTAAGCATTAGTAAATTATTTTGGGGCAGACCTTTTCCCTGATTACTCTTCTACCTGAAAGCTTGTAACATACGAGAAAAGTCATAAAGACATGAGAGGCTCTAGAGTAATAGACTAAGCATTTTAGGTGCTAAAACCTTCAACTGCCTTTAATAAAAGTTTTCTCATTTTGTGATTGAGTTGCTTAGGTGAAATCAGTGTTTATGGATTTTGCATTCTTTTTACTGGAAAATTACAAACTGTAACTTTAGTCACCTAAAGCTTTGAATTCTGGCTCTGTCACTTGGTAACAATGTGATATGAGCCTTGTTTACTCATCTATAAAATAGGGATTATAAAACCAACCTCAGGGGAGGTGTTTGGGGCCGAATATGATGATGAATGAAAAGCACCAAATGCATAGCAAAAGGTCAGTGAAAGTTCCTTTCCTCCTTCCCCTCTGCACCTTTCCTTTTAAACACCTCATATTATGCTTCACGTTTGAATGTGATGGTAATCACTGATCATATCAGCATGTGTGGTTCAAGAAGTACATTGGCCAGCATTCCTTTCCACACTGTGCACATATGAATATTCTTCTTTAACCTGGTGGCTGATGTCTGCTGAATCTTCTAGCCATCGCTGTTTCAGACTCTCCACTTTCTGTGAGCATTTGTCCAAAAAGTGCCAGACCTGAGGCTGGCCAGAGTGTGCCTCTCGTGCAGGGTGGCTCTGTCATGCGTTGAGGGCATTATTGAATGTCTTGAAGTACCACGGTTGGCTTGTTAGAATGTGATTGGATGAGTGCCATTGAACAATTGTCATCATGATTAAGGTGCCCCTGTGAAATGAGAGGACTGTGTGGCAGAACTCCTACCGCTATGGGAAGAGCCTGGGGGTTCGTGGGCTTTGACCCCAAATGCATAGTCATTCTGCCTTCCTCACTCCATTTCCTGCTCTCTCTTGAGGAACTAGGCATCCCACCTTGGAAAGAACTGCTGCTGTTGATTTGGGTGGTGGGAGTTGTCAGAGCGTGTGTGACTCTTGTAGGCCATGAGGGAGAAGGTCTTCATATTTGCAGTTGGTGCTGGGTGCGTTTCTAGATTGTTCCCGGCACGTAGTGGGTGAGCATTAAGCGAGCTGACTGAAGGAATTGTACATGAACAGATAAAGTGAACTGTAGCATTTGTTTATATTTTTCACGTAGTTGAGTTACTTCCTTCTAGACTTGAGGAATTTCCTCTAAAGATTAGCTTCCCAATGAAGAATCTGCCCGTGCTCTGTGGATTTTTTCTTCTAAAACTGCCTGTACCCCTAGGACCCCATAGGATCTTGGTCACATGCTAATAAGTACAGTCATACTGCGTTTTTATCTTCCCTGCTTATTCTGCCTTCTGCTTTGTATGTCAGTCTTTACTTACAAACCGAAACATGCAGTCCTTCGAGATGATGAATAGTACACGATCCTTTCTTTTCGAAATTTTGTCTCACTCGTGCTTTTCGATTTCTGTTTTCTTTCTTTTTGCTAAATATGAAGTCTTCGTGATTTCTGTGTATGATTTGAGGGCATTGGCAGTCATCCAAATGAAATGAGAGCTGGAGATGAAAATTGAAACTCTAGAGCATCCTGTTCTTATCATTTTTGAATTTACGTATTTTTGTTCTCATTTTTAATTTTATGTGTCCTTGCAACCCATCTCTTCATTCTTACAAATGACCTCCGGTATTGGGAGGCCCCTAGGACTTCTCATTTCATCAAATCTGCACTCTTTATCTCTCCCTAAGCTCCTCTTTACATGCTAGTGTGGATTCCAGAAACACACACTGAGAAGTTCAGTGACCGTTCCCAGAGAAATTGCACATCTCTCCCTCATTCCTTTGATAATGTTTAGATTTCAACCTGATTAGAAATCAGATGTGTCTGTTCTCTAGAGTTAATAATGGGATCACTGATTCAGAATTTTACAACTCAATTTGGCTTTTGCCTGCAGGATCTAGACCCTCTTTATATCACTTTTATATAAGCAGGACTTCAGGTGAAATAGCTCTGCTATTGTACTTTGGCATCTCTTGTATATTGCCACAATGGCTCTTTTCTGGTTGGTTGGCTTCTTTCTTCCTCCTTTTTTCCCTCCCTTCCTTCCTTTCTTCAGTTTTGGATAAAAGTTTGAAAACTTGATAAGACATCAAATTATTGGGTGAAAAAGTATCTGGAACCAAGGAAAGTATGCTGCCAAATAACAACACCAAATTCCATGAGATGAAAATCACCTTTCATTCTCTAAGACTTTGAAATATCCAGAAAATATACTTCCCTTATCCCAGGTGGGCAGGGTGTATGGATATGATGAGGTGGGCCTTGCATTATATCAGATGGCCTGATTTCAAATCCTACTTAAACTTAAATAATATTTGATAAAATGGCTACGAGGATTCAGTGAGATAATGAGATATAAAGCACTTAGCACATAATAAGATCTCAGAAACACTAACTTTATAATTATTAAGTGGATTCATAACTGAATGGCTGAATTCCATTGCTTAGCTTTGTAATGCTGTGTTTTGAAGAACTTAATGTCCTCACATATTACATAAAACCAAGAGAACCTTAATATACAAACTGTATCATTTTCTTTAATCAGCTCGTCGAATGTATTGTTGAACTTATTTTGCATATTCACTGTTGTATGACAAGAACCTGGTTTGTTTAACTTGGTGATCTTAGTTGGAGCTGGGCTTCTTCCTGAAGGAAGAACGGAAAATTTAGCTTCTGTTATTATTTCATTAATACAAAACAGAAAGTGAAAAAGAAAGTGAGGGGGGTGGAAAAGAAGAACTACGCTGGATTTGAAAGCAAAATTAACAATATACGATGATTTGACTCTTCTCTCCTCTTTAGATCTTTTAGAGAAGTCTCGAGTTGTGAAGCAACCAAGGGGTGAAAGAAACTTCCATGTGTTCTATCAGCTGCTCTCTGGTGCCTCTGAAGAGCTCCTCAGTAAGTCCCTGTGTCTGCGCTTTAATTTTTAGTGTCACAGCATTTCCCAAAACATTCTTTTTCATGTTCTTAAAAATGTTCCATGCCTGTGGTTGAAGTGCAGAACATGGTCTGTTTGCTCCTGTCATCCTGCCCCAGTATTTGTTTGCTCTGTATCCCTGTACCTCACCAGATGCTGTGCACAGGTCTCAGAAGGCTAACTCAAAGAGCTAACTAAATATTAGGGAGGTGAGGGGGAGGGAATCATAAATTTAAACAATAAAATGGAAGTATATGATTGTTCCACTCAGGAAGAAGAAATTAACAGGGAGCAGTAGATGAAAACAACTATAAAAAAAAATTGCTCAGTGAAAATTAAACATAGTGGGAAAACATTTGTAATTGATAAAAGAGTTAAAAATCTGACCTTTGGCTATTTTAGGGAATTAATATAAGTCTATCAGAATAGTATCCAATAAGCTAAGTGATGAAATTTTTGAACAAATAGTCCAAATGGGAACTATGGGAAGTAAATGACATTTGGGGAAGAATCATCCTCACTGATAATCAGCAAGCATAAACCAAAAGCACTGATACATTCGCTGTACATATATTAGCAGAAGTCACAAAAAAGGACTAACCTGGCAGAATTATCGGGCCCTGGTCTGCTTAGAGCTTGTGGGTGTCACTTCCAAGTGAGGACTTCTTCCTGGGGACTAGTTAGCAATCCAGAATAAGTCATGAAATGATCAGAGCCCACTGCCCAGGCGCACCATTTTTTTTGGAATAGATCCCAATGAAGTAATTCAAAAGAATCCAAAGAACACTTTATATGAAGACCTTTATCATTGCTCTCGTGTCCAATGGCATGGGAATCACTTGGCAGACCTCATGTGTTACAATGAAATAGTGCATTGAAGATGGTTAAGTTATAAAAATATGGAAGGGGCCTTACTATGAATAAATGTAAAAAAAAAAAGCAGTTTGAAATATGTACAACAGTGGTGTAAAGGTAGATTTTAGAAAAATGCTATTAGTATTTGGGTATCAATTTTTGTTCTGTTGATTGAGTCCCTAATATGAAAGTCGTTTTATCTGGAGGTCTTAAGGAATGAGATATTAAAGATGCTTAGATTTATTGAAGTAACTTACCAACTTGTATGTGTGATTCAATAGATAAACTTACACTTGAGCGGGATTTCAGCAGATATAACTACCTAAGTTTGGACTCTGCCAAAGTTAATGGAGTGGACGACGCAGCAAATTTCAGAACTGTCAGGGTAAGCAAGATACAGTCCTTTCATTATTCTTTAAAATGGGCAACACTGTATATTGCTCATTTGGAATTGATAACAATTCTGAGTTTTCTCAGAGGTCTAACTCATGCACCCTAAGGTTTTAGAATTGCACAAGAATTTCTTGTATTCTTATTAAAATTATACAATATTGTGAAGGCCCACGCTTTCCTAGAGCATGCGATTTTACTATTTATCAAAAGGAGCTTTCTTACTCTATTATCCTGAGTCTTTTAATGCTGTATTTAAATCATATATTTTCATGGCGATTGCTTAGTAGTTAATGTCCAGCTGTGAAAACTGTCCTAGGAAAGCATTAAATGAATACTGTTTTTGAGACAGAAAGTCATGTTTTTATATATTTTTCCACAAATCATATGTAAGCCAGAATGATTGGCATTTCATGCTCATTAGAAAATAGATTATTTTAAACACTATCCTAACTTTGAAAATTACTCCTAGTAGGACATGCTATTGTAACTGTACTTCACTTCCGAATGGGACAGCTGTGGTGGTGAGGAGGCAGGGGAGGAGGTCAGATCAGCTGAAACAGGACTGGCATCAGTTCATCTTCACGGCTGAGTGAAAATGACGTGGGGTTCTTTCCTGCTCTATTATTGTATATGTTTGAAATTTTCCATGAGAAGAAATGCACATGACTCCCTTCACTAGGTAGCCTCATCACAAACAAAGAAAAGAAAACAAAAAAGCTGGGCTATTTTCAAAAAGAAAGTATTTCCTTGAGTATGTAATTTGTTAAAACTCTGTAAACATCCCCGTACGGGAATCCTATTGATTTTTGGACGTGATTTAAGAGTTCGGTTCAAGTCCAGTTCTGTAATGCTTTGCCTGGCAAATCATCAGCACTCAGTAAAAGTTTATGACTGATGGAATGTTCCTTGTTACCTGTAATGCCTTGGGTCAGGCACTTCACCTTTGCAAATCAGTTTTTCTCAGGTGAAATAAACGAGGAGGGTTTTATGTAGGATTAGGTTATAAAGAGCTTTTTGTTTGGTTTTCTTCCTAGCATCAGAACCCAGTATAAAAAAAGATACATATACACATGTACACACACACACACACACACACTCTCTCTCTCTCTCTCTCTCTGAGCTGCTGCAGATTAAATGGGTTAGAACTCAAGGCCCGGCTCCCAGCCTCCTTTTCCTCCATCTTCCTCTTTGTACTCCTGCACCCCCTTGCCACAGCATGCCAAATGCCCTGGGGATCCTTGAATCACAGCATGAAACCACTGAACAAGTTAGAGCCCCACACTGGTGCTGCATCAGGTCTGTTAATAGGTTTGCCCTTCGGAGAGCTTATTCTCCGACCCTTGGTCTTTTCATTTGTTTTTTTTTTTTTTCAGAAACGAATCTGTTATCAGATTTAGTAAAAAAAAATAAATAATAATAATAATGATAAGAGAATGGCAGAAAGAAAACAGCTGTTTTTCTCCCCCCCCCCCCCCCCCCCCCGCAGAACGCCATGCAGATTGTGGGTTTTATGGATCATGAAGCTGAGTCTGTCTTGGAGGTGGTGGCCGCGGTGTTGAAACTGGGGAACATCGAGTTCAAGCCCGAATCTCGAGTGAATGGTTTAGATGAAAGCAAAATCAAAGACAAAAATGGTAAGTCGGTGGAGACTCAGCCTTGTTTAGCAAACTTGCTTTGAACTTCTGCCCAATTTTTAATCTAGAAAGTAAAACTTTTGCTTTTCATGGGTTCGAAAACACTTTCCAGTGAAACTGAACAGAAACATAATTAGAGCAGAGTGTTAAGTCTTTCGAGTTATACATTTTCTACTGTTTGATTTGAATGTGATTTAGAAGGAACACCGTAAGCCTTGAAAATGATTTTTAGCAGCACACAGGCAGTCACTTTTTGTGTCCATCCCCCCTACAGAGTTAAAGGAAATCTGTGAGTTGACCGGCATTGATCAGTCAGTTCTAGAACGAGCATTCAGTTTCCGAACGGTGGAGGCCAAACAGGAGAAGGTTTCAACTACACTGAATGTGGCTCAGGTGGGTGAAACATAATGCCCAGAAGTAAGTTTTTAAAAAGTCTGTGATATTTGTATTTAAGTGGAAACAAAAATTATATTTTGCAGGCTATTATATGAACTGTCATACGGTTGCAGGCATTGTTCTGAGCACTCGGGGCAGAGCAGCAAACTAAGCAGATAAGGATCCCTGCCCTTGTGGAGCTTAAACTTTTGGCAAGAAGAGGAGTCCGACAATAGCCGGTTGACCTAGTCAATAAATCAATTTATATAGCAAGCTAGCAGCAGACAAAGAGAAAAACTAGAGCAGCAAAGGGAGACCCACAGTGCTGGGGCGGGGAAGTCGGCTCTGAGCGAGCGGGGAAATGACACCAGTGGCGTGACCTGCTTTGTATTGCAAAGGGTCCTTGTGGCTGCAGTGTGGCGAGCAGAGTGGGGAGTGGGGAGGAGCACAAGCAGGGTGTCTTAGTTTGGGCTGCTGTAACAGGATACCATAGTCTGGGTGACTTAAACAAAAAAACCCGTTTATTCCTCATAGTTCTGGAGGCTAAAAGTCTGAGATCAGGGGGCTAGCGCGGTCGCATTCTCGGTGAGGGCCATCTTCCTGGTAGACAGACAGCCACCCTCTTGCTGTATCCGCTTCACACAGCAGGGGGTGGAGGAAGGGAGAATGCATGCAGGTGTCCTCATCCCCTTATAAGGAACACTAATCCATCATGGGAGCTCTCCCCTCATGATGTCATCCGACATCTAAACCTAACTCTCTTCCTAAAGGCTCCCCCTCCAAATACCATCCCATTGGGGATTAGGGCTTCTACATGGAATTTGGGGTGGGGTGAAGGGACTACACATACTTTCAGTTCATGGCACTGGGGAGCTGTAAGAAATGTGTGCTAAGCTAGAAATGATGGTGGCTGAACCAGGTCGTAGCCGTAGAGTGAGAAGTGGTCACCTCTGGGTATCGTTTGAAGGTAGAGGCCACAGGACGTGCTGCTGGCTTGATAGTCGGTATGAGAGAAAGAGAAGGGTCAAGGATGACTCCCAGCACTTTTCACCTAAGCAACTGGGAAAATAGAATTGCCCTTCACAGATTTGGAGAACACGGTGGGAGAAGCCAGTGTGTGGTCAAATGGCCAAATTGGCCTCCCTCCTTCCTTCTTGTCTACTGTCCATCTGAAGCCAGTGAAGTCTTTCTGAGACAGTCTGAGTTGCTTATTTCTTCTCTCTTTTGGTTCAGGTTAAGTGGATGAAGGGATGGATGGATGTGTGTGTGGATGTTATACCCAGGCAGCTTCTGGAACCCTTTCCAATATAAACCCTTTGTTCTACGGCTTAGACATTTTCCAACTGGTCAGTGCTGATCTGGGCTGGAATTAAAGGACTAATTCGGGACTGTTCCCACAGAGCCCTACTTTATTCTCCCCCCATAGTCCAACTGTGTTCTCCCCCTCTTTGTAAGTGGCTTTAAGCATCTGTAAGACAGTAGGTGGATTTCCTCTTTCTCTTGGCTGCTCTGAACTAGGCTCTGCTACTGACCCAGGGATGCCTGTGTGTCTGTAGTTTTCTTTCAGTGTTGATTTCTTATCTTAGGTGAGCTGTTTTGACTATGAAAAATACTATAACTTTGTGTATATGTAAAATTTTCTAGCTATAACTGTTGTGTGTCCTCCTTCTAAAGTACTACTTCTGCTGTCCTGTCTTTCCAGGGCAACCTTACTAATGCAAAGTCAGATGGTGAGCGACTGACTTAATCAAGAAAAATTCGTTGAGCCTGCTCAGCACAGGCCCCCATGTAGACCGTTAGCAGGGGCATAAGGGATGAAAGAAGACTTCATGGAGAAGATGGTTTCTGAGCCAGTCTTGAAGGATTTAGGTGTACAAAGAATGGGCAAAAGCACATTTCAAAAAGAAAACAGTGAGAAGAGGAGTCCACATCTTGGGGAGGGTTGGTCGGGCTCGGCTGTAGCTTTAGGCTTGTGACATGGGTTCAGAGAAATGGGGCTGGAAAGGTTAAGTGTGGAGGCGGTTCTCAAACTTGAGTGCACATCAGGACCCCCTGGAGGGTTTGCCAAACCTGGTTTGCAGGCCGTGTCTCTGGAGCGTTGGATTCAGTAGGTCTGCGGTAGGACTGAAGAATGTGCGCGTCTCACAAGGTCAGTGCTGCTGCTGGTCCAGGGACCACATTTTGAGAACCACTGTATTGAAGGTCACACTGAGTATAGACATTTTCAATAGCCAGAGTGGTGATGGTTAAATATACGCTGTTGCAAAGAGAAAAGGCCTGCTGCTTAAGAAGCCCTTTAGGAATATCCACATATATATGGATATATATGGAATGTATATGTGGCTATATTGTGGTGTTTTTATTGTGTAGTTTTACTCTTGCCTTTTAATCATCCTCTACGGAAACCAGGCCCAGGTGCCTCCTACTTAATGAGCTTGAGTCACCTTGCATCCCTAGGTTACACTTTTCCACATTCTTTTAACCTTTGGCATGAAAGAATTTCGCTTGAGATCCTTGGTTTTTCAGCTCCTTATTCAGGTTCTTTTTTAATGGAGGATTTAGGTTTCTACCAATCTTACTGCCTAAAAGGTTTCAATTCCAGCAGGAAGTAATTTGTTTTATTAACATTTCCTCATAGCTTCAATTCTTGGGCCCCATGATCATCTTTATTGCCCCGTTCCTCATTCTCCCCAAGGCATTTCGATCTTTCCTCAGATACAGCAAGGAATAGTGAAATGATAGACACTCAAGACAGAGCTGTCTTTCAGCTTCGGCCACATCCTCCCTCCCTGCCTTCCACGGCCCTCGGCCCTCGGGCCCTTGGTAATCTGACCCTACACAATTGATCTCAGTTTATTCCCTGTGCTGAGTTCTCTAAATGCCATACTTCTTTTTACCCAGTTCCTTTGCTCCTACTTCTCCTTTACCCACATGCCATGGCTCATTCTTCCTGTCTGTCTGAATGGTCCATCTAATTACACCTCATCCAGGAAGCCTTCCTAGATCCCATTGGCCCCCTCTTCTCCCTTCCCTGAATTCCTTTTTCTCTTGCTGTTGGGCACTTGCTCTCTGATTGTTCCATTCATCTTGGTTTGATCTCCACCGCCACACTGTAAGCTTCTACCGAGTGGGCCCTACAGCCATACATCTGTGTATCTCCTTCACCTGGGCCATAGACTTATAGCGGTCATGTCCGAAGCACATCCACTGGGGATCTTTCTCAGTAAGCTTCACACAGCTGCAGAAACGTGTAGTCTCCTCATATTGTGCTTAGAATCTGAGATGGTGAATCGGTGCATTCGGTGTCTTCCTTATTTCTGTACACCTCATTGGTGATCCTTAAGTGAGAGTAAATATTCCTTCCCCTACTTTGGAGGACATTAGTGTGGAAATGAAGTGGCATGAATCAGACTCAGGAAGTCAGGCCTGGGAGATGGGCAGCTCCCTGGGGACATTTGAGTTTGAGACTTCTGGAATAAATAATTTGTTTGAAGGCAGCAAAGAAGATTAATACATTGGCTGTGAATACACTTTAAAAAATACAATGTAGTGCCAGAATAAGTTGTCACTATTAGTTCGATTGCATATTGAAATGGTGGTTTTTTGGAAGCCGGTAGCATACCACGAGAAAAACCAGATGCCATTATGATGACATTCTGTTTGCAAATAAGTGATGTTTTGAGATTATGCGGTGTTTTCAGGTAAATGGAATTTGCAAGAAGAAAGCGGAGAGGATGAAGAAAGAATTCTATAGGCGCACGAGTGGGAAAGGAAGAAGATACTTCAGAAATCATGATATAAATAACATGTATAGACTTACTGTGTAGGGGCGCCTGGGTGGCTCAGTCGTTAAGCGTCTGCCTTCGGCTCAGGTCATGATCCCAGAGTCCTGGGATCGAGCCCTGCATCGGGCTCCCTGCTCCACGGGAAGCCTGCTTCTCCCTCTCCCCCTCCCCCTGCTTGTGTTCCCTCTCTCACTGTGTCTCTCTCTGTCAAATAAATAAAATCTTTAAAAAAAAAAAAAAAAAAAGACTGTGTGCCAGGCACTGTTCTAGGCACTTGTATGGCCTATTTGAAGAAAGTAAAACCTAGAAGGAAGGAGGGTAGAGAAAAGGTGTTTGTCTAAACCCAGGCTTCTTTCTCTATCTCAGCATTTACATGTATTTTCTGCAATGGGATCATTAACCATCACCCTCCAAGACAACATTGTGCAGTTGGGTTCTATTTGTCTGCCAACTTCTCAGTGGATTTTCTAGCTCTCACTGGAGTGGCTGCCTGAGATGTAGGGAGAGAGATTTGGGATTAGCATGCAAGTGTCAGATGAAGGGAGAAGGTGCTCTAAAGCTGCCGTACGTTGCCAGCAAGGTGACTGTGTGATTAAAGTTGTTACACTTCATTTAGAAAGAAACGTGGAAAAAGAACTTCCATATAACCTAATTCTTTATAAGATAAAAATGGAATGGTTTGCTTTTGTAGTAATGCCCACATTTCTACTTACCAGCAGTGAAATGCACACATAGGGCCAGAGTGTTAGGAATAGGAGCAAACCCTCCAGTTCTGCTCCCCGAGGCTGCTGACGCTCATCCGCGGGCCTCCCCGGGAGCACTGCCTCACACATCTCTTGTTGGTGCGTGCTTGAGGTACCCACGTGGCACCCGATGCCTGTAGGGACTCTTAGGTTCGCCCCAGCAAGGCTCCCTTTCTCCAGTGCGTGCATTCTAGGTCAGAGTCAGCGACACTCTGTCTTCTGCCCTTTCTTTGTCAGGTACGTCTGAACAGCTTCAAGTAAATGAATAAGCAAATAAAAGCATGTGATTTCTGTTTTATCCAGCACATTGTCTAACAGTGTATTGTGACACTAGTCGTTATGGAATTTTTTTTTTAAATGTTCAGAGGGTTGAATGAAGGAAAAAATTTGCAGATCACATCAGTGAGACCCATTTTCACGTTTTTTCTTTGAGTTTCCTTTCCTATGTGTAGGGGTTGAAAAGATAGAGTCTTCGTATAAAATGTAGTTTCTTATTTTCATACAACATAAGCATTTTCCATTTTATTAGCTAATTTTTATAATGATCATTCTGTGATAACTGTGTAACTTCCCTTTCAGTGGGCATTCATTTATTCATTTTGCTATTCTACTGTTGTTGGACTTCTAAATTGCCTCTGATTTTCCTCTCTTCTGTAATACTGAGATGGATATCTTTCTGGAGAAAGTGTTTGTAATGTTTTGAATTCATTTCCTGGGATGCAAAAAAGCATAATAATTGGGTATAAATAATTTGCCCAATTCTCTTAACGGTTTGACTGTTCATCCAGAGTATAATGAAGACTGGCTCTGAAAAGAAATTGGAAATAAAACAGCTTTAAATATTTAAAGAAATGCCTTTATTATTTTATTGAAATTAAGCATTGTGACAATTGTGGGTGCTGAGTTTTTCTTTTTCTTTCTTCTTCTTCTTCTTTTTTTTTTTTATTAATAGGCATATTACGCCCGTGATGCTCTGGCTAAAAACCTCTACAGCAGATTGTTCTCATGGTTGGTAAATCGAATCAATGAAAGCATTAAGGTACTGAATTTCAATAACCAGATAAATCAGTTGTAATAAATGGTATTCAGAGTATAAACATTAAGTTAAAAATACTTTAATTCTATAATCAGATAATTGATTATGACTTACAAAGTTGTTCCTTGAAAAGAATTTACCTTGCATAGGATTGAAATTTGTCAGGATTCTATTTATTTTGTTTTGCCATGTATGTTGTAAGAAATCTCACCCGTCAGTGGTCTAGTGGTCTTTGCAGAGTTACTCTGAGAGCATCCTAGGTCTTGGTTGTGGTTCATCTATCTAGTTTATGCACTTGGCTGAAAAGGTCACTTGACCTCTCTAGCTACTGATACGTTCTTCAGTAAAATGAGGGTATTGGAGTAGTGTGATTTTGAAAGGCCCTACCTAGATCATAACATTGAGCAATCTTTTATTACAATAAAGCATCACTAATACCATCTTTAAATAAGTCACCTATTAAAATTTCTGGAAGATTCCATACCAATATTCTATCTCATACATTAAAAAAAAAAACAAACAAAACTAAACTAAATTACAGTTATTCTCCTAGTTGTGAAATGCAATTAATTTATAATGTACGTCTGTATTCCTTAGTATGCTTTTAGTGTTCTATTTCAGGCCTGAATTAACCCATCAATTTTAAACTTTTTTTAAGGCACAGACCAAAGTGAGAAAGAAGGTCATGGGTGTTTTGGACATCTATGGCTTTGAAATTTTTGAGGTAAGCTTTTTTCCTAGCTTTTGTATTATCTTTATTTATGCGGAATAGTTGGAAATTACATTGTATATTCTATAGACCACATTTAATTTAATTAATATAACTTTGAATCTACAAAGAAGCCTTTTTGCGGATGTAACAAAGTGTGTGTGTGTGTGTGTGTGTGTGTGTGTGTTTTGAGTGCTGAGAGCCAGCATTTTGGTGCCAGTGCTGTCAAAGGAAGAACTTCTTGTAGCAGTATTTGATTTTTGTAATTGCAAATTCAGAATTCTTCCTGTGAAATTGCTAACAAGGTATATGGACATTGGGCCTTAGTCATTCGTTCATTTGTAAGAAAGGGAAGCAAGATGGTGCCCTGAGAAAGCACGGAGCCCAGGAGCCGGATGCCGGCTGTGGCCTGGCTGGAGCTGGTCACCTCATCCCCGCTGGACTCAGGCAGAGACGGTCTCGACTGGGTGATGTGTTGGGTCTCATCCAACTGCAGTCTTTCGATAGGAGTTCTGTTGCAAAGGTTGAAAGAATTTCAGTGGAAGTTCATAATGAATTTTTTTAAAAAGACTCCATGCCTATTACAGATTAAATATTTAAACATTATATACTTATATTTGAATTTCCCATTTATCCTCTTGCTAACTTTGACATTTAGAAGCCATTTTAAGGACTTTTTTTTTTTTTTTTTGCCCCCTCCCCCATTTTAAGGACCTTTTAAAGCATGTACTCTTACTTTTAGGAGTGGTATTTTAGTTTGGTTTGGAAAAATAACAAGTAGATCAGGCTCCTCCTTTTTTTATTCTCCCCGTAAGTAATGATTTGTGAATTCCTTTAAATAAGCAGTCTGTGCCCAGAATGACCACCCAAAGCCTTCACGTGTTCCAAATTATCAGGTTCACAGAATAGCAAAAAAACATCAGCCCATTCCCTGTGCTAAGCTAGGCCTTTCTAGCAAATGTCTTTTTCTTACAACATTTATTTCTGTGATAGTACCTTCTCCCTGCTTGACCACAGTCCATATTGAGGCCAGTTATTGAGGGCTACCTGTGTGTAAGCATTGTGGTAAGTGGTACATATATTGTTGGATTTAATTTTCACAAAAATGTCATGAAATTGCTGCAGTTATTCCTGTTTTACAGGTGAGGAGGTGAGGCTCTGAAGGTCAAGTAGCTCCCAAGGTTACATGGTTACCAAAGGGCAAACTCAGGACCTAAACCCTAGGCCTCCTTAATAAATAATAAAAGATCTCCTATAGGGCACTTTTCTCTCCAAACTCATAAGGTCCCCAGTACCTGAAAATAAGGAGAAAACGCAAATGTGTTAAGTTTCTGATGCCCCATATTTCTGTGCACTTGTCATCATTCTGAGCTGGCCAGCACGGGGAGCCCCCCTGGGGTTCTTTGGTGTGCTGGTGGCCGAGTGTGGGGCACCTGTGCCGTGTGCTGGTTGCTGCCGGCCCCCCACCTCCCGCCCTGCCCCCCGAAGATGCTCTTCAGCACAATGTCTGCTTATATTGGTGCCCCTTTAGCAGACTCTGCAAAGGAAGGCTTCTAGGCTCTTGGTAATAGGGAAGAATTTGAGGTTTGTGAGTTAGGAGAATTGCTTGAATATACTCAGAACTACCCTGAAATAGAAAAATTCTTTTCTAAAAAAGCCCCCCAAACCAGAACTTTGAACCAAGACCAAATCTAACCAGTCATGTCTATAGCAGATCTTATGATGTACCTAAAATCATGAGAAATTAATTTTCCTTCTCCATGCAGTAAATGCTTTGATTTTTTTTCCCAGTTCTTTGAGAGAATTGAGATTTGTCTTTCATTGTAACTAACTGTTCTCTTCATTTTCCTGTCTAAACCTTCTCAGATCTTCCAAACATCCTGATTATTAATAATCTGCTTAATGATTTATTTTACAATTAAATTTACTTGGGTGAAGTCAGAATAGAGATTTGGTTGCACACTTTTTTTTTTTTTAAGATTTTATTTATTTATTTGACAGAGAGAGAGATAGCAAGAGAGGGAACACAAGCAGGGGGAGTGGGAGAGGGAGAAGCAGGCTTCCCACAGAGCAGGGAACGTGATGCAGGGCTTGATCCCAGGACTCTGGGATCATGACCTGAGCCGAAGGCAGACACTCAACGACTAAGCCACCTAGGCGCCCCTGGTTGCACACTTTTAGATACTTTACCTGCTTTTTGATACGGAATTAGAGAGGCTTTTTTTTTTTAATGTATTCACATGCATGCCTCAGGTGCCATTCTACATTTTCCTGGATTCTCAGCAAAATTAGAACACATGGAAACATCAGGAAGTCCATCGTATTGAACATGAGGGAGCCAGGCAATTAAGGACTTAAAAGTACCAGAAGCTGAAGTATAAGCTCAAAGTCTGACTTGGGAAGAAGTATTCTGAATCCTCATCAGTGCACAAATGAAAATTTCTATGTTATTGTATACCCAAGTGAAAAAGAAACTGATGGAGTATAGAGAGAATTCTGCCTTCGTTTTTCCATGAAACTTGACTGCAAGAATTAAGTGTTCTACCTTTTAGAACACCCTGGGCATCACTTTAAAAATTGGACTGTGAAGGTTCAGAAAAAAAAATTTTTAATGTTTCTAATTCTGCCTCATGACCCCATTGACAGTTGCCATGAAAACGTTTTTCAGCTGAGCTGGTGGAAACCTTTCATTCATTTTGGTCTGTCTCTAAATGGAAGAGGGAAACTGATGCATTAAACCATGGGATGATGACCCATGGATTTGACTGCAAAGCATTCCAGGGCCAGCTGCATGAATAGCCCTGCCTTGCTGGCCGCATGTGATCTGATGTCAGTTTGGAAAACAGATTAGTGGAACACACTGATACCAAAAATAAGAGGAAGTGAGTTAAAACTCATAGAGAAGAAAAATCTAGCTATAAATCCTCGTTGAATGTAAGTCCAGTTTTGCAAAGGAAGAGAGTTCTATAATCCAGACACTCCAATTCCACACAATTAAGTTTGGATGTTCTTATAACTGCTCTCAGAAACATTTATAGCGTCACCATAAAATAACAAATGAAAAAATTAAATTCAGAGCGAAGTTGAGCCATCTAAACTGATTCAGCTTTTTTCTAAGTGCTTATCTAAGAAGTACTAAAAATGGCAGGTAGTTTACTGGGAAAATCTAACGAATTATTAGTGTGCTATAGACCAAAGCAGAACAGCAGGCTGGATATTTCACTTTTCATACAGTTGAGCTGGTTTCATATATCCAAAGTTATTTTGAATCAGGCACTCTTTGTTCATCTTGCCCTTATGAACCTCAATGAAAGTGACCCATATACAGTAAGAATATGATAGGCTGGATGCAATGATTGTTCCAAATAAAAGAACCTAATAGGTGAACAAGAGTCAGTCAGTGTAGCCTGGTAAGTCTTCTCATGATGATGAGATTTGTTTTCTAAATTGATTTTAAAAGAAAATTGATTCTGGTTATAGGTAATACCTTTTGTTCCAGCTTTTTTCCTTTAATTTTGTTCTTCGTGTGCTAGAGAACTTAAAGAGGAAGGAGAATTTTTAAAGTACATTTTAGAATGGAAATGATGGGAAATAATATGGTTCATAATATGTATCTGTACATCATGACTCTTGCTTTTTAAGTCAAAGCTTATTTTATATAAGAAAAGCACTATAATGTTGTTTTTCTTAAAATTTACCATATTTTAATATGTACTAGGAAGAAAAATGTTATGTATTTAGAGAGTGCAAGACTTAAATATCTACCTGTCTTAAAGAGCATAAGGTATCATTAGCCGCCTCTATTGCCGAGAAAATACAGATACATTAGTAACAGGCAGGTATTTTTGACCCATCTTTCAAAATCCTTCCAGGCGGGAAGTTCATAATTGATACTTAAGAGTATAAAGTAGTTGTGAACTTCACTGGGAGTATGGTTTTCTGTTTGTTTGATGTTGAAAAGGTGGACTCAAACTCAGGAATTCTTCTTTTTTTTTTTTATGATTTTATTTATTTATTTACTTGAGAGAGAGAGAGAGAGAAACAGCATGAGAGCGGAGAGGGTCAGAGGGAGAAACAGGCTCCCTGCTGAGCCAGGAGCCCGATGTGGGACTCGATCCCAGGACTCCGGGATCATGACCTGAGCTGAAGGCAGTCGCTTAACCAACTGAGCCACCCAGGCGCCTTGAACTCAGGAATTCTTTAAAGAAGCCCTAGATTTTGAAGTTTTGGTCTATTATTTTATTTCTAAACCTAGCAAGTTCTTCCCACCCCAGTCTACACTTGGTGAATACAGTATAAAACAGCATAGAACCTAGACACCTTGCTGTGTATCTGTCTTCCCTAGAGCAGTCCGGTGGGGGTGGTGATGGTTCTGGGCTTCACACAGGGAGATTGTGTGATGGAAAATTCTGGAAATGCTTGTTCGAAGATGTTCCCCAAAGTTTTAGTTTTATCATAACCTCAGCCTTTAGGGATAAATATGAGTTAGGCAGTGGAGACACATTCCATGCGTGGGGCATGGGTAGAACACTGGAGAGAGAGAGTGCGGAGCTGAGTCATTCAAGCTCCTGCCCACTTCCTCCTGAGGAGACTTTGATTCATGAGACTGACATGTGGGAGACAGCGCCTGCCTCAGGGATCGCTGCCACCCACAGTTCTTGACACAAAAGTATCCAAATACCAAATTACCTTGGGGTCTTGAGATTCATGGGGTGGTTCCTAGACCCAGTTTAGCTATTTTCTAAAGGGGAAAATGACCCAAGAGGAAACCCCAGTGATTTTTAGTGCCTGTGTACATGAAGGCATGTTCTGGACCGAAGCGATTTGGAGCTATACGAACTGTTACCAGGACGTTCCTTAATTTTTTGCAAATTATAAATGTTTGTATGTTATTTTTAATGATTTGTGAAGTCCCGTTTCCCAAAACATAGGACGATGTCCACAATGTAAACATAGATCATGAGAGATGGGATTGCCTTCGCGTTTGGCAATGACGATTGCTCTGGTGATTCGTGACACGTTTTGCAGACCATGAGGTGTGTTTGCAGTAGATGTAGAGATACTTCGGAGGGGAAGTCAGCTGGTTTCTGCCTTGATGCTCGTGCTATTCTGTTTTTTTGTTGTTGTTCTTTAGACAGCAGGATGAGGTAGGAGAGACAGGTTTTTTCTTAGGCCGTCTCCAGAACGTTCTCTCCTTACCACATTGTTTATGTTTGAGGGGAGACCTCGCAGGGACAGCACGGGGTGGGTTGCTGTGGTGAGAAAGAGGAGGTGCTTTTGGATTTTGCTGGATCTCTTTGTTCTTTTTGTGACCTGCCATTTGCCTCTTTCAGTGACTCTTTGGGGAGGGGGATGTGTCATTTATTTTTCCTGAGAATTTAGAATTAGAAGCGTTAGATCCCGAAGGCTTGGGACTTCAAGCAAGTTACGTGAGGCATTATTTGAGTCAAACTGTTTTTATCCTGCGTAGCTCACACCTAGCAGAACCACAGTTCAGACACCGCATGTAGGTATCGGGGGCCCGTTTTTTGAACTGATTGGACATGTGTCTTGATTTCAAGTTTTATGCCAATCAGAAACATAGCTTGAATGGTGAAATCTGTCATTTGCACCAATGAATAACTGTCAATAAGTGTTTACTTTTAGAGGTTTATTGCAAATTAAGAACTGACTGCATTTTGTGTAATCTGTCCCTTTTCGCACCAGAATGCAGTAAGTATGAACTGTTTGCAGTGACAGTCTGTTGCATGCTCCTGTGTGATTGGCTTCTCCAGCTGTGTGGATTTTGCAGTAAATGGCCATTGATTACCTGTGTGCGGATATGAAATAGAATTCATACAGGAATTTTTAAATATTGAGGGGAAATCTAGCTTGGGTCTAACTTACCCCTGAAGTTGTGTTGTAATTGTGAAGCTTTGCCTCTGATTTCTAACCTGCCTGTGTGTATTTCGTAGTCCTGTTGCAAAGCATACCTCCAGCTGTTCAGGCCGTGTCATGTGTCTCAGGACACTATTCTGCTCTTGCTTCTCCTCATTAGTTACCATTTGAAGACTTAGCATAATTTTGTTTAAATAGCTCCATGAGTATAGACTTCTTAAATAACAGAAAGGATTTTAACCGTTAAATAAACCATTAAAACTTTAATTTTATTTATAAGTTTTTAAATTGGGGTAGTAGTATTATATAAGGATATATTTTACCAAAGAAAGCCAGACTCCCTCGTAGAGAAATGGCCTTATCCTGATCATAATCGTAATAAGGCATCTAGGCCAGATTGACATCAGCTTCTAAGCAAAATTGTTAAGCTCCGAAGATTGGAGCGCATGGCTTTTAAAACTTTGTGAAAATGGGGAATGCCCTTTGTGTCTCAGACCATTTGTTGAAAGTATTGAAAATAAATGTATTCCCTTTAGTAAAAACCTTCATGATTAAAAACAAAAAACCAAAAAACTCTTTTCCTTGACCGGACTTAACATTTGAAAGATTAACCAATGATCGTGTGTATGTGTCATTTATGGTTTAGAGTTAAAAGTTCTCCCTGATTAATGAGTTCATCACTGGCGATAGGAAACTCTTAGGTGAATTCCAAGAAAGAATGTAGTCAGGTATCAGCATCATAAGTCTCATTTTAAAATTTGTCCTACATAGGAGCAAAGTTGATTTTGAAAGTTCAGCTTTTGAAAAGCTCTATGACTTTTTTGCTTTCATCATTTACAGAGAGATTTGAAGGTCAGTTGCTCTGGGTATTCATGAGAAGCGATGAGCTTCAGTTTCACGCCGGGATGCTCGTGGCTCGCAGCTCGTTAGGGCCAGGACTGGCCACCTCGGTAGGAGAAGAGTCAGGTTTATCAGTGGTGGGGTCGTACTGTCCCTTGCTCCCATGGCCACCATCTCCTCTCCACAAAGACAGACGACCGAGGTGAAAATAACACGTCTTACTACCAGATCTACCTCTTCCTGGATGGTGTGGTTCTTGGTGGGGTGTATTCATTCAACAGACATGGACTTTGTGCCCTCAGTATCTACGGCAATACATTAAGCCCTGCGGATGGTCCAGAGATGATTTAGGCATGGATCTTCACCGGAGTTTTAGGAGATAACTATAATATGAAGGAGAAGCTGCTGAGAACCATACGAGCAATAAATCATGAGCCTTCTGAGAAGAGAGTTTCTCACTAGGGAAATGATTTTGATGTGCTGATTCCCTTGAATCTCTATTTTTTTGGCACTTCGCTCATTCATTCATTCATCAAGTCATGTGGAGAACTTGCTGGGTGCAAAGTGCTGTGCGAGGCACGGGCTTACACTGGTGAACAGAAGAGACACGTAGTCAGTCCTTGCCCGTCTAGTGAGACAGGGCTGAAACTAATCGATACACGTGTACACACATGCCCACACGCATATACACAGAGCGTGATTTTTAGAAAGTCCTGGTATCTAAGAGTCAGAATGAGGGAGCTGACCCTGCATAGGGGAACAAGCGGTCAGGTCAAGAAGACTTTCTTGAGTTGCAGAGTTTCACCCGAGAATGGCCGATTGAGAACTTGGGTGACAGAGATTATAAATTTCGCTGTTCCATTTTGGATCCTTTTGGGGAAACTATTTATTTATTTATTTATACATACATGTGTGGGGTGCTTCTCTGTCAACTAAAAATCCTCATCTTTCAAAATACTACGTAACTTGTGTATACTTCATTCACCCACTTGACTCATGAACCATTTCTCGAGTGCCTGCAGCGTGCAAGCCTGTGTGTGCTGGGCCTCGGCGTCCCGGGAGCTGTGTGCTGGGCCACAGTTAAATCCGCCAGACGGGGTGTGTGTGTGACGTTTCTTGTGGATTGCGGTGGTAAGAGTGTCACTGCTGTGTGAGACCTAATGGCATGGCTTATAACGCGCTCTTCATTTTTCTCCATGTAGGACAACAGCTTTGAGCAGTTCATTATTAATTATTGTAATGAAAAGCTACAACAAATCTTCATTGAACTGACTCTTAAAGAAGAGCAGGAGGAATATATACGGGAGGTAATGTTGAAGTACATTTTGTTAAAGGTTCCTTTTTTTACTCATCATACAAATTGTGGATTCAGAAGTCGCTATAAACAGGACCCTAAAATCAGATTTATCTAAGTTTAGCCATATTTTGTCTTTTAAAAGTGCATTTGTTAGGACATCTAAGCTCACTGGGATTATCTTACTGCCCTGCTGCTAGAGCCTAGAACAGTGCCTGGCACATAGTAGATGCTCAGGAAGTATCAGTTGACTGGCTCGAGTCTTAGCGGATTCTACTGTAATGATGTAAAATAATAGTGTGTTAAAAAAAGATTCAGATGAATGAGCAAACAGCAGTGGTACATCCATACCAGGCAATAAAAAGGAACAAACACCATTTGCAACAACATGGATGGACCTGGAGGGTATTATGCTAAGTGAAATAAGTCGGACTGAGAAGGACAAATACCATATGATTTCACTCATGTGGAACCTAAAAAACAAAACAGATGAATAAATAAAAGGTGGAATCAGACCGATAAGCACAGAGAACCAGCTGATGGTTGCCAGAGGGAAGAGGGGTAGAGAATGGGCAAAACAGGTGAGGGAGAATGGGAGATACCGGCTTCCAGTTACGGAATGAGCCAGTCACAGGAATGGAAGGCACAGCATATAGGGAATACAGTCCATGGGATTGTAATCTTACTGCATGGTGACAGACGGGAGCTGCGCTCATGGAGCGCACAGCGTAAGGTATGGAGAAGCTGGATCACTGTGTTGTACGCCTGAGACTAACGTAACACTGTGTGTCAGCTATACTCAAAAGCAGTTTTTTTTTCAAACCAACATATAGTTGATCAAGGACTTATCTGAAGAATTGGCTACTCCAGAATAAAACGCATTAAAAATGAAAGAAAAAAATAATAAAAATGTCAGTACACTGTCAAAAAAAAAAAAAAGGAACAAGCAATTGATAAACACAGTGACATAAGGAATCTCAAATGCATTATGCTAAAGGAAGGAAGCCCGATTCAAAAGTCTGTGTATCCTAGGATTCCATGATACGTTGTTCGAGAAAAGGCAAAGCGGCATTGATTTTCTAAGATTTTATAATAAGAACAGGTAATATTTGTTGAGTGCTTACTATATTGCCAGGTGTTGTACTAGCACTGTGTAAATGATCTCACTTAATGTAATTTGAAAATAATCAGAAGTAATGTTTATGAAGTTTCATCCTTAATTGTATGACCATGTGTGGTTTTCACGCTTTCATTTTTTAAATAATGTTTTTTGAAGTATAAAATTATTTCAAACAAAAGGAGGAATTATTGTATTGTGTCTATATTGTATTACATTTTTGTTTCTTTTTATTTATTTGCTTTAATATTTTAATAATGGTATTACCTATTTTTTTTCATTTTCTATAGTGTTAACTGTAAATCACTAAAGACACTGAATCCTTTTTTCTTTCCTTTTTTTTGCTTCAGTACAGAATTTTCTAATGTGATTATTATCCCCAGTGTCTTAATAAAATAACCCAGGTACTCGAAAGCTAAATCATAAATATTTCATCTTTCTTTTAGAATGATCACCATGCTTTAGAAACATTTCATACTTGGCTGGCACCTTTTTTAACGTAAACATCCTAAAAGCCAGATTCATTCTCTTCCTGTCTTCTCATCATAAATAGATTGCCCAAACTTTGATCTGTAACTTAAAACAGTTGGTACAGATTGTCTAAAACATGTCTAAGAATATATAGGGAGATCCCTAGCTTGCTGTATGAATTAAGTTCCCCTTAGAAGAAAAATAAATGTTTACACTTACAGGCAGAGTGTAAGCAGATCCAGAATGATGACATTTAGCCTCACAGATTTGGCTTTGTAGCTAGCCTCAGAACCAGTGGGTCGATTTTTATGTCTTTCCTTACATTAGAAATATTTTGTCTTAGCACTGGGATGTTTTTACATTTGAATAGTCAACTGCCCTACAACATGGGATTGACTCTAAAATTAATTTTTCCTTGTGGTTACAAATTAAGAACAGAAAAAATGTGGGCCTTAGATTCCTGGGATCAAGTTCTGACTTATTTCCTTATAAACATTGTAAATATACACAAAGTAATATTGACCCAAGGGCCTGTTGAGTAAATGTTTGGCACAGAGCCAATGAAGTGCATGGGAAATTGCCACAGATGGGAGAGTGGAATGGGAGGCGGTCTCAGAACAGGTCAAGGGCGTGCACTTTAGTCACATCATGTTAGTGGTAGACCGCTGAAATTAAGGAAGTTTTGGGAACCGGAAGATGACATTTTGCAGCACTGATTTTATAAAGGAAATACCCAGAGAGTACATGAAGCATAGTAAGGTGGCACAGTGGCTGATTTATGGATGGTGGTGTGTGGCCTCATCATATGGAATCTGATTTTTTCTCTTTTGTTTCTCAGGGCATAGAATGGACACACATTGACTATTTCAATAATGCTATCATTTGTGACCTAATAGAAAATGTGAGTATAAAAATTGCTTAGTAATAATATCCTGCACAGAAGATCTCGCAGGCTTCGGTGTTAAGCTGTAGCATTTTTGCTATTTTGACACTTTTCTTTACAGAACTGCAGAGTTCTGGAGACTCTATTATAGCCATCAGAGATCATGCACGGTTCTTGAACACACACATAGACAGCTGGACATTTTGATCCTTGGCTAGGATTTTCAGTCTCGTCCCATGGCCACATCACAGAGCCCATGCATGACGTTCAGATGCCATGCCCTCAATGCACGCCCCATTCTTGCCGGGAGCCCAGGTCCAGTCCCCGGCTCCTGGGAATATGAGCACTGGTCAGAGGAGGCTCGGGCAAAACGTTTTTGCCCAATCATATATCCATTTCATTTCCAAAATTCCAGGAACCACTTAATACACTGTTTAGTGGTTACTACCAAAAAGAGAATTATCGGTGAGGATGTGTGAAAATGTGCACGATTGCTGGGAGTGTAAATTAGTGCAGCCATAATAGAAAGCAGCATGGAAATTCCTCAAAAAATTAAAAATAGAACTGTTGTGTGATCCAGCAGTTCCACTTCTGGGTATATATATATGCAAAGGAAACAGAATCAGGATCTCGAAGAGGTATCTTTACTCCCGTGTTAATTGCAGCATTATTCACAATAGCCAAGATATGGAAACAACCTAAGTGTCCGTCTATAGATGAATGGATAAAGAAGATGTGGTGTGTATATACAATGGGATATTATTCAGACTTGAGAAAGAAGGAAATCCTGCCATTTGTGACAAAACAGATGGACCTTGAGGACATTGTGCTAAGGAAAATAAGTTAGGCAGAGAAAGACAAATGCTGGGTGATATCACTTATATGTAGAATCTAAAAAAGCCAAAGAAACAATAGGATGGTGGTTGCTAGGGGCTGAGGTGGGGGAAATGGGGAGATGTCCGTCAAAGGGTACAGACTTCTAGTTACAAGATGAATAAGTTCCAGAGATCTAATACATAGCATGGTGATTACAGTTAACAATGCTATATTATATATTTGAAAATAGGAGAGCAGGTCTTAAATGTTCTCATCACAAAAAAAAAATGGTAACTATGTGACATGATAGAGGTGATAACTAAGGCTTATCGTGGTAATCATTTTGCAGTGTAAAAGTATATCAAATTATCACCTTGTATACCTTAAAATTCTACAGTGTTATATGTCAACTGTATCTCACTAAAGCTGGAAAACATTGTTAAAATAAATTAATAAAGAACAACAAACATGCTCTTCAAGTTTAGGTAAAGGAGGATAAAGGGGCATGCTCTTCCAGCTACATGTTCAAGTAAGATAACAAAAAACATTTCTTTGAGTTAAGATAAAGGAGGATAAAGGGACAATCATGGGAGCTGAGCTAAGTGGGACCCCAGGAGCAGCTCCACTACAGACCCGGCCTTGGTTCAGATTGCCTACGTGGGGGATATTGTGTGTGTGTGACTTTGCAGGTGGCCAAGGGCCACGGGAATTTTCAGGTGACCAGCTATGGCTGTATGTATGTGAAAAGGCTTAAAGTGTGAAAAATTACCAGATAAATCTTAGATTCCAAAAGGTTACTAAATATTTTTTTTACATCGTAGTCTGTAGTTTATTATAAATGAATTGATTGCAGGAAGATTAATTTGTATGTGAAAACTTGGGAGCCCTTTTTTTAGGCTTAAGATTACTCACACTCTTGGCCTCAATAACAAAGTTATTGAAAATTGTTTGAAATAATGCGTAAACTTTATTGTCCTGCAGTCTTTTTAGTTGTCAGTGGTAGGTGAGTGCTGGAATAGAATCACAGGCTCTAAATGTCCAGCAAGTCACTTTCTGTTCATCTGTAACAAGACCTTTTGGACATTATGTAATTAGCCAGTATCTCTTCCCTCGGTTTTTAAGATACTCCTGAAGGCTGCACCTTGAATTAAATGGAACATTAAATTGAATATTCTGAAGTATGACTGTTTAAGTAAACTTTGCTTTGAAATATTTGAACAGTTTCGGAAGGTGAATGCTAACATTCCACCTAAAGCAATTCAAAACTCTAATATCCAGAAAAATCAGTGAATTTACTGAAAATTTTTTGCTTGTAAATTTTGTGACCAAAGTAATTTGCTGTGAGAACTTTAACTTTCAGAAGTCATGACTAGTACATTTTCCTTCATAAATATAACATTGAACTTAATTATTTTCCCTTCAAGAAGGAAAAACAGAGAGAGAGAACCATGGTAATATACTTAATTTAACTAGATTATCTCAGCTCCAAATCCCCTTGCATATATGCTTGAAGAAACTCAGGTTCACGTAGAAGCCTGGGTACATAAAGGAAATGTTTCCTTCCGGTGTTACCTAACAATAATATTTACTCTGGGGCTGTTGTGACCACACTTGATCCTTGAGAGTCCACACTTCCCCTGGGGTTTTGTGTGGAATGAGCAAATGCTGGTCAGAGGATGTCATGGCCTTGTGAGGAGAAGGGGAGAGGAACCAGGAGCTTTGGCCCGGTGGAAGTGGGTGGGGCTGATGGTCAGTAAAGTGGATTGTTCTCTTTGGAGTGGAGACATATGGGCCCATAGGGGCAATCCAAGGAAGAGCGGCCTTTATTTAGCAAAGTAGAAGATTCTGGATTTTTGATTCAGTTTAACTGGGCGGACTGCTCTTAGGATAAATAGGACCATAAGGTCTGAATACACAACAAATTCTCACTCGTGTTCAACATTCGTTTCGAAATTTTATGTGGAAGAATTTTATTCTAAACAGATATTCTTGAAACACAACTTGATTGCCTTGATCCCAAATCACATTTTTTTTTTTTTTGCTAGAAAGTAAACTATTTTGAACACATGAACAATCTGAAAACATCTGAAACCAATTTCCTTCTGAAGCTATGGATCAAATAATGGCCTTAGAAGACTGTGCTTTGTGATTTATGACCACATGTCGTAGAGATTGCATTGTCACATGTAGTTTCTGATGTTTAGATTTGTGTTTGAGTGTGTTTGGAATACGAGGTCTGATTTGCCTTTTTTGAACAATGTGGATTTCAGTCATCAGCCCACTGAGGTAGCTGAGGTGACTCCTAAGTCCTGTTCTGTGGGGGGGTGGGGGGGCAGAGTGGGGGAGGGAGACGGATAGAGATCCTTCCCCCCCGCCCCCAGCAGGGACACACACCTGGGACTGTGGAAGGGGGCCGGGACTCCTGTGGCTTTTTGTGGCTTGTTTTGATTCTCTGCTTTTTGTTGTAACTGAGCGGAATTTTCTTGTGACTAAGTTAATTGTGTTTGACGGTGTAATTAGGAATAATTATTTAAACAATACAGTGAGGAAGGAAAGAGATCTTTTTTACTTCCTTTCTCGCAGAACACAAATGGGATCCTGGCCATGCTGGATGAGGAGTGCCTGAGACCTGGCACGGTCACCGATGAGACCTTCTTGGAGAAGCTCAACCAAGTCTGCGCCACTCACCAGCACTTTGAGAGCAGGATGAGCAAGAGCTCTAGGTTTCTTAATGACACATCCCTGCCTCACAGCTGTTTCAGAATTCAGCACTATGCTGGCAAGGTACGGGGGAGCCGCGAGCACCCAGTGGGCCTGCAGTCGTCCTTCCCTTGAGGAGGCCATGCCTCAGGTGGCATTTGGACCAGTGCCAACTTGTAAGGATGAGTCGCTGAAATCATAGGATCAGTAAATTGTTTAATAGAGGTAGAATCTGGATCGTGTTGAGTCAAAATCTTAACTGAGAGCTGAAAGGAAAAGCCAGTGGTCTTAATGAAAGAGCTCAAATGTATTTTAAAAATCGATGTTATTGTTTCCAAGCTCTCTCTTATCCTATAAAAATAGATCTCTCAACATGAATAAAAGGAGACTTGCTAGTAAAAATTAGGAGTCACTAACGACTGACAGTAAGGTTTTAGAAGCACAGATCACTTAGCAAAAACAATGAATTCTTAGATTGAGATTTTGAAACAACAGTGGGGAAAATACCTACTTCTTTAAAAAAACACTTATTGGGATGCCTGGGTGGCTCAGTCGGTTAAGTGTCTGCCTTCGGCTCAGGGGATCGAGTCCCACATCGGGCTCCCTGCTCAGTGGGGAGCCTGCTTCTCCCTCTGCCTCTCCCCCTTCTTGTGTTCTCTCTCTCTCTGACAAATAAATAAATACAGTCTTAAAAAAAAAAGCACTTACTCATTTGCTTAATATTTAAGTGAATTAATTTTATGCCACCTAAGATCTATAAAGATAATGTTAAAACCAATTTTGACAACAGCTTAATTTTTAGAGTCCTGAAAGAGTATCAGTTGATGTTAATACCTCCTTTCTTTTACATAAGTTTGCAAATTCCAAAGAGGAAAACATTCTTATTTATATATTTAGTAAAAATTAAGTATATGGTACCCAAATTTCTGTTAATTTCAAAAAGTTGAAACTTAGTACTTCTTTTTTTTTTTTTTTTGTTAGCTTATGTTATTAAAAGATACTTTTCTGGTCAGTTTCTTTGCCCGCTTAGGAGGTCTGAAAATATCAGTGCTATCTCTATTTTCTCCTACTTTTAAGCAGACTAGAATTGGCACATGTGAACTAAAAAAAAAGAAAGAAAAGGAAAACCTCAAAAATGTGCTCAAACACCAAAAAAGCCTACAATCCTTTGAAAATGTTACGATAGCATTTTTTGGAGTTTATTCTTGCAAATCCTGAAGTGTAATAGAATTTATTTTGAACTCTTCTGTGATTTAGACAGATGGAATTTAAACTTGGAGGCTAATTCGGTATTAGGAGTGTGACTAATGTGCCGGGGGGGGGGGGGTTGATGGGGAAAGTAGAGGCTGCATTATAGATAGTCTTGGAATATTTTTAACAGTTGTGTGATGCCCGGGACTGCAGTATGTCAGCTGTTGAGTTTCATGTGCTGCTCATAGGTGCTGTATCAAGTGGAAGGATTTGTTGACAAAAACAATGATCTTCTCTATCGAGACCTGTCCCAAGCCATGTGGAAAGCTGGCCACACCCTCATCAAGTCTCTGTTCCCCGAAGGGAACCCCGCCAAGATCAACCTGAAAAGGCCTCCTACAGCAGGCTCTCAGTTCAAGGCGTCTGTGGCCACACTGATGAAAAACCTCCAGACCAAGAATCCAAACTACATTAGGTATTTCTGGCACATAAAATGCTTTGACAGGTTCATTAGGAAGGTGCTTTCAAGGGAGATCATTTCCCTGTTTGCCTAAATCAGAATATAACCCCCACAGAGGATAACCCAAGTTCTTACCCATCAAATAATGTGGTATCTTGGGTTCGCTTAAAAAATACTCCAGTGCCCCTCCCACCCCTTCAAGCAAGGGAATTTAAAAAAGCGGGGGGGAATAGATATTTAATGAAATTGCATTGTTCGCACATAGGATTTTTCACTTTTTATATCTTTGTTTCATGACATGTTCAGAAATGTAAGCGTTTTTTCTGGTAAAGGTTTTGCAGAAAACTCTTCTGTTGGATTCATCTTCTTACATTAACTTAGAGCACAGCATTAAAGCAAGTGGGGCTTTAGTTCCAACTTTGGTGTTAGAAAATATGTCTCTTTCTTCCTGAGACTTACAGATTTGGAGAAAGGAATGACTCCCAAAACATTCTTAAATTTTTCAAAGCAACAGAAAGAATTCCTTCAGAAGCATCTGGTCTTTTTTTCCTGTTTCCAGGGCACCTTAGATCTCAAGATTCAGTAAAGCCCAATGAGGATTGGAGTTTTCAATCTGTGTATTTGGTGAAGTAGATAATGGGGGATGTGTATCTAACAGGTCAGGTTTCATATAGCGCACACACACTCACACATCCTTTCCATAACTGTCTTTGAAAATGCCGTTGTGAGGAACCTAGCGGGAAGAACATTTCTGTGTGGTTTGTTTACCTAATATTTATATTGGTAACAAATATAAATAGTCAAAACCCCCTGGTTTGATTGCAATCAGGTTGGAACATATAGCAGGCAAAGATCCTAGTTTCAAAAAAGAAAAAAAGCCCAGGAAACTTTCTGTGGTCAGTTGCTTTTGTTATTCTCAATTAAGTGGACTTTTAAAAAGTTACTATTTAATAATAATTTACATGATGTGATATGCACAGATCCTAGGTGAATAGCTCAGTTATTTTTTCATCGTTGTATTCACTTTGACAACCACCACCCTGGTCAACATAAGGAATATTCTATCACCCCAGAATGTTCCTTCATCTTCCTTCCTTTTTAGTGACTTTATTGTATCTCTAAGAAGTCTTAATAAACTATAAGCTTGTGAATATATTATATTTTTTTCTAGAGTCTTTGTAGTTTCAGATTTCATGTTAAGGTCCATATTTTTCCATATAGATATCCTGTTGCTCTGGCACCATATATTGAAAAGAAAAAAATCGCTATTTTTTATTCAGTTATCTTGATGCCTTTATTGAAAATCAGTTGAAAACATGTGTAAGTGTTTAGGTCTAAACTCACTAGGCTGTTCCCATTGATCTGGTTGTCTATTTTTAAGCCAAAGGGTGGACATTATTTTTTGTAAATGTAAAAGGAGAAGCATAAAAACACCAAAGTCCAACTAGGTAAGACTTAATTGTTCACATATTATATATGTGTGAATTTATTTAACACTTGTAAGTAGGCAGATATAACCATAAATGTTTAATAGTGTATTAATTAAGATATAGAGATTGCTTCCATAAGATCCAAACATAACAATGGCTTAAACAAGACTCACTTATTCCTTATGTAACTTCTGAGTATAAGGATTTTGGGGCTGATCCAGCATTTTCTTCTATTTTGTGGCTCTCTGGTTCCCAGGGTGTTTCCCTCATCCACATTGTCAAAGATGGCTTTCTACCATGGCTCTATATTCCCAGCCAGCGGTTAGAGAAGAACAAGGGGAGTGCAAGTCCCTTCCTTTTAAGGACACTCAGAAATGCCATATATTAATTCTGTTGTGATCCTGGTGGCCAGACTTTTGATCACATGGCCACACCTACTTGCAAAAGAGGCTGGGAAATGTTCGTTGTTCCTTGGACAGCAAAATGCCCTGTTAAAAAGGAGGGAGATACAGGGCAATAGGGAAACAGTAGTGTTTTTAATAATTTCAGTGAGTTATATCATACGGTACAGTAAAGTGTATGAATCTTAATTGCACAGCTTGTTGAAGTTTTTATATATGTATACACCTGTGCCCATCATCCCCGAAGGTTCCTTTGTGCCTCTTCTCTGTCGATCTGCACCCCTACCTCTCCCCAGAGGTAACAGCAATACTGATTTCTAATCATAGATTTGTTTTTCTTGAACTTCATATAAATGGAATTAAAAAATATATACTCTTTTATGTCAAACTTATTTCAATCAACAGAATGTCAGTGATATTCATCCCTGTTATTATTGTATGTATTAGTATATTCTTTAAGTGCCTTGTATGTATGTCATATTCATTTTTAGGTTTCTGTAAACAGTTTAAAATAATTTAAAAAGATACGACTAGGTTTCCCAAGGATAATAAATAATTATCGCAAAATAATTATATACTCTACTTTGTAAAACACAGATCTATCCTCAAGAGACAGAGTTTAAAACCTAAAATCTGTGTGATATTTTAGGTGCATCAAACCAAATGATAAAAAAGCAGCACACATCTTCACCGAGGCTCTAGTGTGTCATCAGATCAGGTACCTGGGTCTTTTGGAGAATGTTCGAGTGAGGAGGGCAGGCTACGCCTTCAGGCAGGCCTATGAACCGTGCCTAGAAAGATACAAAATGCTTTGTAAACAAACATGGCCTCATTGGAAAGGACCAGCAAGGTAAGAAATGCATTGATCACATTTAATAATGAAGTTTTAAAGCCTACAAATCACATGCTATTTTCTTCACCTGCTGTTAGTAAAACAATTCTGTGGCAAGTTAGATGCTTCCTCTGTGTTGGACCCTCTTCCATTAGGGTACCATTTTGTGCCAATCAGTGATTGATTATAGAGGCCTCGATTGTAAGGTCTGAACAGGGCTTATCCACATTTGGAATTTGTATGTCAATAGAATTTTAAAAATATGCTGTGGCAAGTTTGTAGGAGGGGATTTGTAATTGCTAAATATATTTGTGTAGAATCATGAAAGGAGTTAGAGGCTTCTCGGATCACTGCTCTTTGCTTTTTGGGTTTTTTTTTTCTGGGGAATTAACCCCAGAGACAGACGGTGAGTGGGGGTGAGGGTCTTACTCTTCGCCTGGGTCTGCACCAACTGAGAAATAGATACAGGAGCAGATAGGACTCAGAGTCATTGTTATTGCTGGTGAAGCTGGATTGGAGAACATGGTGGAATCCAGGTCCTGCGGCTTTCCGCCCATCTTCGCTGAATTGCACTTAGGCATCTAGTCCCAGACAGAGTGACGGACCCCTGCAGGAGCAGCCCCTGTGAGCTCTCCACATGCAGACAGAACCTGTGTACTGCCAGGGGGCTGCTGCAGAAGAGAAAGCAGGCTTCGGCTGTCCACTGCGCTTTCTTCAGCTCTTGCCTGGCGGAGAAGTTGCCCCTTCTCTGCAGGTGGCAGAAGCTCTCCCAACCACCACAGGAAGGCCGCCGTGTCTGTTTTACGGGCCTGTGCAGGCACTAGGGATTTGATTTCACCGTACTGGTATTGCCTCCACATTCTCACTGGACATGGCCTGGAATAGGACACTCACCCTGTGTATTACAAGGAGATGAACTCCAGACATATGATGTGGCCTCCGATGCCACAGGTCAATACCCAGGCAGTGTGGGATCTGCGTACTGTTTGTTCCCATTGCTAATTGCCACGGTAGAATGGTCAGTATTTACCATAATGCACAGAACATGCCTTCAATCCCTGCTTGGCACCTAGGCCCTAAGTCAGAGGGCTGAAGTTTCGTTAAAGGTTGATGTTGAAAGCGGGGTCCAGGATGGAGAAGTCAGAGCCCAGCTCAGGCCTTGCTCCCATCGCATAAGGCCTCTGCTTCATTCCACCCCATTGGTCTGGCACTTAGCACTGTCTCTTGGGTTCTGCCCATGCTGTGAGGCATGAGCGCAATATTAAAAATATTTTCAAGAATTAACTGAGCGGGCTCAAAAATAGATGTGAATTTCTTGTATCCCCTCCTGATCCTGGTTGGGGCTTTGTTATGGGTATATTTGATACAAAGATTGCCTCTGTTAATGAAATCAAGATACTGGTTTTAATGCCGTACTTTCCTAGACTACATAGTTCCGAACCCAAATTTACTCTTTCAGCGTTACTGGATTTGGTTTAATTTGTGGAGTTCAGTCTGAAAAATCTTTCACAAAAGACTGCTTACTGAAAGACCAATTGTACTTGGAAATAAAGCTATTTTTTTATGCTGCTAAGAACCTGATACCATGATTGAAGAGAAGATAACCTCTTTTTATAACTCAGAAAACTCACTGTTTTTATTTATTTTTATAGGGCTGGCGTGGAGGTTCTGTTTAATGAATTAGAGATTCCTGTGGAAGAATACTCCTTTGGTAGATCAAAGATATTCATCCGGAACCCGAGAACAGTAAGTAACCAAAATCTTGACACTCTGAACTTACGTTATAATCATATAGGCAAGTCCTTAAAGGATATTTAACTTCATAACATCACCAGAGATGCTGCCAGGAGGCCCACATTCTTGTTTTTTCTGCAGACCTCCAGGAGGATGGGCAAGTAGGAGGGCAGTAGAAGAACGTGGGTTTTTTTTGTTTTGTTTCGTTTTTTTTAAAGATTTTATTTATTTGACAGAGAGAGACACAGCGAGAGAGGGAACACAAGCAGGGGGAGCGGGAGAGGGAGAAGCAGGCTCCCTGCAGAGCAGGGAGCCCGATGCGGGACTTGATCCCAGGACCCCGGGATCATGACCTGAGCCGAAGGCAGTCGCCTAACCAACTGAGCCACCCAGGCGCCCTAACGTGGTTTTTTTAATGAAACATCAAAATCTTTGAACTGATAGATTGTACACCACTTACTAGAGAAACGGTTATTACAGCAATAAAACCTCCCTAATTCATAGGAATTGGGGGTAAATTCAGTCTGTATTGATTATAGCTGAATTATGTAATAATTTTAGGAAAGACAACCCTGTTATTTTAAGGTATGTGAAAGCATTCCTATTGAAAAAATTTTTAAGGTGAAAAGGACACTTAAAATTCTACGTAGGAACTCCAAGGGAACGTTTTTTTGTAAATGAATATAGACTAGGATGAAGTATAGTTAACATAGCAGTGTCTTTGGTAATTTGGAGAATTTGGCAAATGTTTGAATTGTTCAAGAGAGAAACATTATCAGCATCCCCCTGCGCTTAGTAGTTGCATTCCCATGGATAGCGTGAAGGTAAATCTGAGCTTCCAGTTCAGCCGCTCTCTGATTCGTCAAATTCTACATCGCCCTATTGTAAATAGTGGATCTTGTATGAATTCATCAAAATAGGTCTTCTCGTGGGTTGTTATTCCTATCATCTGTAATTAAGATGGTTATGCATTTTTTTTCTCAATGTGGTTGATTCTAACATTGTGAACTTTTTCCTCCTGGAGATGTCTTTCATGCATGTCATAAGGTTTTGGTAGACTTTTGATAAATCCAACTACCCTTTCTTATTAGTTATTCAAACTAGAAGACCTGAGGAAACAGCGTCTTGAGGACTTGGCCACTCTCATTCAGAAGATTTATCGGGGGTGGAAATGCCGCACACACTTCCTGCTAATGAGAAAAAGCCAGATCGTGGTAGCCGCCTGGTATAGGAGATACGCGGTAAGATCCTCCGACCTTTCTCATCTGTAATAATGAGGCTTATTTGCAAGTATTCGTTATGTAGTTAACTGTGTATGTCATTTTTACATATTCGGTTCCCCCAGCAACTTCATGGAATGAGTGCTCTTGTGGTACCTTTGTTAAAGACAGGGAAACTGAGGCATGAGGCGTCAAGTAACTTGCCCGTGGGCAAACAGCCACTAAGCAGCAGAGATGAGGTTTGCATCCAGGACAACTTTAAAGCTCAAGTTTAGTATGTCACGACGCTGCCTTCCCTGATATAGATACATGTAGTGAGAGATTGAAATCTTGAAATTGCTCATCAGATTTGAAGAGGCAGTGTCATTTTACTCTCTTCATATCGTAGGGTCAATTTTCCAGAATAATTGGCTGTTCTCTGTGTATTGTAGCAGCGCTGAAAATGGCTTCATTCCAGAAAACTAATGCCCCATTGTAGTAGAATTCTGGGTTTGGTGCAAGAGTTCAATTTCCTTCAGTCCTCAGATAGCTGGTCTTATTAACTAGGGGAAAAGACTCAAAAATACAGTTTGTTTACTTAATAGACATGGCATTTCTTTTTGGGATTTTCTTTCTCACTTGATTATAGATGTTTCATTGAAGGAGTAACATGTTTGACGGAAGCCCGGAGGTTTGCCTTTAGGCTAGCTTAAACCTGGGCTGTGTTCTCACAAATGAATTTTAGTGATAAAAACACTACTCCCAAGTGCTTTTTCAATCTATGCGTTTGCTCTAGAGAGTGAGTCGGAAGATGAATTGAATTTGCAGTCAGATCTCCTTTAGGGTATTCTGTTTCTCTGCTCTAGAAACATCTTACTAGGAGGCGGTGTGTAACCAGGACATAGTGTTGCTGACCTAGTCTCATGTCATGTGTTTTAGCGTAATACGTCCAAGTTTGAGAAATTAAGGACATAGTTAAATGATTAAGCCAAAGAAAAAAAACTGCTTGATCTTTAAGAGAGTACCTTTACAATTGCCTCCTCTAGTCGAAAGGGTACAACCAGTAGTATGGGTGTGGACATATGGACCTGTCCAGTCACGATGATGGTTGTATTCCTATGTAATCTGCAAAGGCACAGAGGACGGTTGTCAGCAACCTGGCTGTGGTGGATTCTTTTCCGTGCACACAGCAATGGCACTTGGCATTTCTGCAGATTCATAATGCTCTATTTTGTATTCGCCTGAGAAAGGGGGGACTGAGAAATCACCAGTCCTCAGGGACCCTTTTCATCATTTATTTTTGAGATCATTAAGAAAATCCACGTTTGGGAGTGTAGTGAATTCATCTACCTTGAATCCTACGAATGCTTTTGCCAACACCTACTCTTCCAGGCTCTGGGGAGAGCACCATGAACAAAACAACCTAATTCCCTGACCTCCTAGAGTTTATATCTAGTAAGGGACAGTATGGGTGTAAGCAAGTGAATAATCGGAACAATTACAGATCGTAGTCAGTGCTAGGAAGGAAACCAAGAGTACTGAGATAAAGGATAGTGGAGAATTAGGATGTAAATATAAGATACAAATTTAGATAGCAAGGTCAAGGAAGACCTCTGGAAGGCGGCATTTCATCAGAAGTCTGCGAAGAAACAGGGCAATGAACCAGGAAAAGCAGGTACCATCTGTGGCCTTTCCTCCCTGTGTATCCAGACGAATAAAAGAGCCACCATGTAATGTACCATTAAATCATGATGGGGAGAGTGACGATGAATACTGATTTGGAGAATAGAAACAAATAATAGCCTAACTTTCAGAGAAAGTATTAATTTTGCCCTAGTGTTAAATCTGCTTCAGAAGTTGAGCTAAACACCTCAACCAGTTAACTACGTGTTATCCACGCCGGGGATTAAACTCAGTATTTTTCCTCAATCAGATAACTCCAACACTTTCTCCATGCCTGTTTTCAGTTGCTGATTATTTTAAAATCCATATTCTGTCCTTTTTAATGGCTCTATGAGATGAATTTTCAAGTGAGATAGAGTTCTTTTCAAGCCATTTAGGAGTTTCAGAAGAGAACAGTGAGGTACCAAATGGATGTCAGAAGTGATGGTCAGAGACGGTGGGTGTAGTTTGTTGTACAGCACGGAATATTCTTCTGTGAGGAATCTGGGGGCGGGGAGGGGTTTGCAGCTCCTCATTTGACAGATGAGGAGATGGAGACCCAGAGAAGGTAGTGACTTGTCCAAGGTCTTTGTCTCTGGTGTTCTCTTGCTTTGCTGCTCGTGTGTTGATCACATCACCGTGTTTCCTCTGAGCTTCCAAAATACAACCTAGGGTGCCGAAAGGCATGTCTGCCTCCCCAGTAAAGGGAGCTGAGCAATCTAGCATTTCCAAAGTGAAAGAAGCACAACATGACTTCAGTACATTGAAAAGCTGAAATTTCACCCCAGATGCACATGTGCCAGGGAATATTCCACATTAAATACAGTAAGAGCTCACGTTTCTAGGGGTAGGATTCCAATCGCCTCCACTCTCTGAGGCATCAGCCCTAGAACTAAAAAGGGCCTCCGGGCATTGAGCTTGCTGTGCCAACATTTGGCCTGGGGCCTCCTTCTTGGAGGCTCACTGGGTTTGCTTTAACCTTCCCCACCCGGAGGCGACCTTGGCTGTATCTGAACCTACTTGGTGCTCACTCGACTCTCCCAAGATGCTGTTTCTGTTTCACATCGCCGACTGGTGTCCACTGCAAGTCCTTGGGTGCAGGAGTGGGGTTGGATTCACGTTTATATCCCCACAGTTCTATTAAAGTGATGATCATTGAATTATATTTAGCATCCTTAAAGCATTCTCTGGATTAACTGTAATAATTTTGGATCGTTTGATATTTTGATTTCTTTACATATTGGTTCCCAGAAGGAATATGGGAGATCAAGGGTTAATTGCACTAAGTGAGCAAGTCCTCTTTCTCAGTCCTTGCAGTGTGTGTGTTACAGATGTGTAAATAGAACCACTAATATCTTTCCCTTTCGTCCTACAGCAACAAAAGAGGTATCAGCAGATCAAGAGTTCTGCCTTGGTAATTCAGTCTTATATCCGGGGTTGGAAGGTAAGTTTGAAAGAAGTGAGCCTTATTTATTTGGGGTTTTCAGGTTCTTCACAAAGGATGATGTCTTTAAGGTCACCCTGCAGGGGAGAGCTCCTCGTCTCCTGCCTACCCTGTAAACAGTCAGATAGAAAGAATAAATATTATGGGCGAAGCTGGGGCCCTTGTGACCATGTCTTGGCTGCATCCTTCCAACCGGCTCTGTTTTCAAGAGCTTTGTTCTCTGAGCAGGAAGTCCTTGAAATAATACTGTACATGATTTCAGTATCCTCTTGCCCCCTGTTTGTCAGGGAAGTGTAGCCCAGAGGGCTGTCTCTCACACTGTTGCCTCTGTACCTGTGTGTCCTGCCGGACCTCAGCACCCCCAGCCCAGCTCCCTTCCGTAACTTCCTGGTGACCGTCTTGTGGGCTGCCCCGTAATGAACAAAACATCCTGAGCTCTGGCCATTCTAGTGGAGATCACAGCGCACCCATCACCGAGTTCCAGGTCCTTCCTACAAGCTTGGTTCGGAGGTCAGCAGACTACAGCCTCTGGACCAAATCAAGCCTATGCCTGTTTTTGTGCAAAGAATGGCTTTTATATTTTTTATTTTTTAATTTTTTTTAAAGATTTTATTTATTTATTTATTTGAGAGATAGAGAGAATGAGAGAGAGCACAAGACGGAGAAGGGTCAGAGGGAGAAGCAGGCTCCCCGCCGAGCAGGGAGCCCGATGCGGGACTCGATCCCGGGACTCCAGGATCATGACCTGAGCCGAAGGCAGTCGCTTAACCAACTGAGCCACCCAGGCACCCGGCTTTTATGTTTTTTAAAGCGTTGTTTAAAACAAAAGAAGAACCATCTCATGAGGTGTTAAAAATTATATGGGATACAAATTTTGTATAAATATATATACAAATATAAAATATATATATAAATATATATACAAATATAATTACAAAGTTCGTATAAAGTTTTATTGGTACAAACCTTGCTTATTTATTTACATCTTGCGAGTGGCTGCTTTAGTGCTCTCACATCAGACCTGAGTAGTTGTGATAGAGACGTAAAACCTGGAAAGCCGGAAATACTACCCGTCTGGCCTTCTACAGAAAGGTTATTGACCCCTGCTCCAGGTCGAAGATCCTTCAGGGCCTCTCCTGACCACTTTCCTATTGGGAGATTTTGTGGGGTGAGCTGGGTCCAGAGGGGCTACTCCAAGGTAGTTCCCAAGCCCAGGGCCCCTTCAGAGGGTAGAGCCCTGGGCCGGGAGTCCAGCGGCATCGATTGACTTTTGTCTAGGCCCGTGGGACACTTTGGTCGTTGTCCCACAGCAGATGCCAAAATACAAATCCAAACACATAGAGGAAGTGCAATTACTGCCTGCCAGTTCTTCTTTGACCTCATTACTGGGTCATGGGGCCATGACTCCAGTCTAGAGACTTCAGACATTCAGAGTCCACCTCCAAACCACGCGCTGCCCTGGCCCCCACAAAGTCAGTTCCTGGTGGCTACTGGGAAGGAGCCGCTGGTTTTGGACCAGTGAGATTATTTTAGCAAGTTTTTAAACATCTCTTCTGAATAAAAAGTACAGCTCCAGTTACGTTCTGTATACAACAATAATGAAAGTGATAAAGAGATTTTGGAGGATCATTGGAGACCCTCCGACCACGTTCTGAGAGCGGTTCCTTCCATCCGATGTGCGCCAGCTTCTATTGCTTGTGCTCAGATTTTCCTCCTGTCACACGTGAGGGCACAGGAGGCCGCTACCTCAGTCTGAGTGGCGGCTACACTGTCGTGCTCGATGACGGCCTCATTTACCACCTTCTCCTGGTCCGTTGAGGCCTACTAAGCAAGTTCTCCTTTTTCTCTCTTTAAGCTGTAGATCTTTCACTTGAGAACGGATATGATGACTGTCTCCTCAAGTATTTTTTTTCCCAAATCACTATGGAATTCCATTTTTTTGGTTAACTCTCTATTTTCCTGGGTGATGCTTCCCCTCAGGCCCGGAAGATCCTGCGGGAACTGAAGCACCAAAAGCGATGTGAGGAAGCAGCCACCACCATTGCGGCGTATTGGCGTGGGACCCAGGTAGGCCAGAGACTGCCCCCCAGCCGCCCCCACCCCGGGAAGGCAGTGGGTCGGGAGTAACGTGTGGGGCCACGGACCCTCTCCTTCGGGGGCCAGAAATGTTTCCCTGGCTTAAGCTACTGAGCACGCCTTTAGCTGCCTGTCTCTCCGACATTGTGGTGTGGGGTGGAGGCACACGCTTTCGCGTTCACTGTGTGATGGTGACTGGTGTCTCTCTTCCTCTTTCCCCTTTGGGAACCAGCAGTAACCTTTCTTGCCTTAAACTTTTCTGTAACTCCTTTTCAAATGCATCACAGGCGCGAAGGGAACTGAGCCGGCTGAAGGAGGAGGCTAGGAATAAACATGCTATTGCAGTTATTTGGGCTTACTGGCTTGGATCTAAGGTACTTGATTCGCACAACCCGTCCCTCGGTCCCGGAATCCGCCACGATCAGTTTGGATCTTTAGCCTGTCGGGCTGAATGACTCCAGCTAACGGTGGCTCCCACTGGTGCATGTCCTAGCAGCCGGATTTGATAAACCTGGGATGGTAGTGTCAGAGGACCCATTAGGATCCCTAAGCATGTGTAGGCCGAATGTGTAGACTCCCACTTGCTTCTTAATGAGGCACCAGTATAAGTGCTCCTTTTTAAAAAAAAACTCTCAAGTAACGTGCATGTTTAGTTTAGGGTTTTTTTCCCCCTCCCCCTTCCTTCCCTCCAACCCCCCAACATACACTGACAGTTTTCTTGAGGGATTTTTGTTTGGTGGGGGGGCGGGGGGGCATGTTGGGAATGTTAAGGTTTGGGCTTCGGTCGGTCTTCTGCAACATGATGATGATAGGACCACCTTTAATGCATGCCTTAAAACATATTAATCCGTGAATGACATGTGTTGTAGGCTCCTTGTGGCAGCCATTGATTATTATGAGCAAAATGTGGTATGTGGAAAGAATGATCATTTGTGATTTAACAGAAAGCTGTGTTCATACAAAGCTAGCTATAATTGCCACTGAAGAATCCCAAGAATTTCAGCATCAGCTGTTTGTGTTCAGAAACAAAGGCCTCCTGAAATACTCTCACTAATCCCCAGGCAGAGTCGTGGGCTCTGTGAACATTTCACATACCCCAAGGGACGAGACTTTTAGATGTTTTTGTTACTTAGGAAATCAAAGGTCATCTCTGCTAAAAATGTGTATTCCGGTTAGAAGCATAAATATCAACAGAGTCCTATGTTTTTAAATTTGCCTTGTCAGCATTAGAAGCCCATCTTGTGAGAAAAATGAGAAAAGTCAACATTTGCCTGTATGAAGATCCTAATTTGCCGAAAGCACTCACCAGCGTTGTTCGTTTGTGTTTTTGCTTGAAAAATCTGTGCAGAACAGATTAGTTCCTTTATTAAGTGGAGGGAAATGTCCTAGCACAGGCAGAGAGACGCTTTGACAATTATCTCTGGGTTTTCCCCGCTGAATGAGCTCATTTCCCAGTCAGTACTACCGGGTAATGAAAAGTCACTGCCTGTTTCATCTTTCACAGTAACATGCCTCAGTTTGACTCTTCCCTAGGATTGATTTTTAAACCTAGAAGTCTTTTCACTTTTTATCGTCAGTGTAGTTCACTGTTGGGGGCCTTGAGCTCACACTGAATTTCGATACGGGCTACTTCTGATTTTCTAATGGGAAAGGATTTTGAGTTTTGTTTTTTTGTTTGAACTTCAGAGAAACAGCCCATATTCCTTCTATTTTCAAACGCTTGTTCGTAAGAGCTGTCTTTTTATAATAATGTCTGAATGAATGAACACAGAAATTCATAGCCCCTTTAGCCCTGTGTACTGGCAGCAGAGGGAAATCTGCTGAAGGCATCAGCTGCCACTCACAGTTCGAAGGTTTGGATAAGGGAGAGAGAGAGGGAAGTGGAAGAGGGAGAGAGACCAGGGAAGGAAGAAGGAAAACAAAGGGAAGTGCGGGCGCAGAGGCGTGCTAACCTCAGGTACCATGCAGATCGCCTTCCCCTGGAACAGAGGCTCAGTGCCCTAAAAAGACAAGGGCCTGCCCCGGCCTTATGCTGATTCTTGGGGTTTAAACGATTGTGCCCGATTGCTCTATCATTCTGAAATCCTTACTCATCAGTTGGCTCTTCTGTTTGGTGGGGTGTCTTTTTCTGGTCATTTGTGCTGTCTGCATTGGGCTGTCTCTTTTATTTACTATCTAAAACATTCTAGGCTCGAAGGGAATTGAAACGCTTGAAGGAGGAGGCTAGGCGTAAGCATGCAGTTGCTGTCATTTGGGCTTACTGGCTTGGACTGAAGGTACTTCCCCACCCCTTCTTTCTGCCCACGGTGAACTCAACGAAGCCTAGCACTTACTAACCCTGAGAAAATGATCGATTATGCTTGCTTATGGTCTGCACAGTCTTTTACGATGTCATCTTGCCTAATTGCGTTCCTTTTTGAGAACAAACCTGTGCACTAATATTTGCTGATTTTATTGTGGTGTATTTCTTTAAACAATCGGTTTAAAGTCATAGCACTGTAGCGTGTTTTATCTAATAAGACACTTTGTTATCCAAGTTCTATTTCATGTTATCTTTATGAGGATGAAGTTTGTGTTTTGTTTTTTGTTTTTAATTCATGAGACAGAGTTATAGTAGACGAGCTTAAAAGCTGACCCACGGTCTACAGTGGCCAGCATGGGGGATATCAGGCTCTTGGTTCCCCTTGTCTGACTCTTCTGCTCCAGTAATGGGTCCTGGAGCGGAGCTTTCTGCGGAGGGACTGCCATTCTCATGGTTCAGCATAGAACCCAAAGGATTTTGCATAAAAGTACAGATTCAGACAAATAAGCTTGGCAGTGGATCATTCAGATTAGATTCAGATGCCTTTTAATTAAGGGCAGGGTTCATTTCAAAGTGGTGCTTACTCCTTTAGGTAAAATATGACTGAGCCCCCAGAAAACCTTGAGAACAACTTTTAAGCAGTGTAAAGACTGTCTTCCTAATATTCAATAACTCATCACCATAGGGTGCCATCCAGATTGTCTTTTGGGGATACTTAGGCCCCCTTTTGATTCTATTCCTCTTTTATTATTTTTGCTGTAATAGTATAACAATTCATCTTCTTCTAAATATTTAAACACCATCCAGGAAACCACTGGCTCTGGATCTAAAGAGCACTAGCAGTATCTGTACATTCTGCTCTTGAATAATCCACATTTTCTCCTAAAAGTTTAGCCTATAAACTCTTAGTAAATTAACCTTTTTGATTATACTGAATATTCATCAAGCAATTTTTAAATTAAGAAGTAACTTAAACAGGAACTTAAGATGTTCTATTTAATTCTGAATAAGTTCTATAACTGCTTTTTTTTAAAGGATTTTATTTCCCATTTTATTCACTTGTTCTAATTTGCGTTCTGATTTTTGTAAAAAGAAGGAACAAAACATCGAGTCAGGATTTTTACTCTGTGTCATGATTTCTACCAGCAACATCACGTTTATCTTTAGTTTTCTGGGTTTAACTGTGTATGGTTTCAGAAATACCTTCATATTAGGGGTATATACTAGCAGCCTATAAATCAAATTCAGTTTGTAGGTGAATTGTAGGTTTTAGCTGGAGGTAACTGGGCTTCCTCTAGACGTAATGCTTTTTTTCCCACCAGTTTCCTTATAAAACAAGTATTTTAATATGTTACCATTATTATTGTTATGAAATAAGGTCAGACTTCTTTGGAGTCCAAGAATGTAATCATTTTGTGCTTTTTTTTAAAGAATGATGTTGATAAGAGCAGTAGTTTTGTCCTTTTAAATGATTAAGTTCTTGTGGAATTGATTACAGAGTTCAGTGGACTCTTTCAGGACTGTCAGAGCCCACGAGGGGAATCCATTCCACGTAGCCAGCATGTTGTCACCAGGCCTTTTCTGTATATAGCTGTGATTCCGGAGAATATTTCAGGAAAAATATTCCTGTGAATATCAAAAAGCATGTTACAGGGTGCCTGGGTGGCTCAGTTGGTTAAGCGACTGCCTTCAGCTCAGGTCATGATCCTGGAGTCCCGGGATCGAGTCCCACATCGGGCTCCCTGCTCAGCAGGGAGTCTGCTTCTCCCTCTGACCTTCCCCCTCTCATGTGCTCTCTCTCTCTCTCTCATTCTCGCTCTCTCAAATAAATAAATAAATAAAATCTTTTAAAAAAAAAACACATGTTACAGTGAACTCACTTACAGTGACATTCAACTAAACAGTAGGATTTCCACTGTATTTCTATGGATGTGTTTACATGAAATCTCACTTTACCTTCTCTGCTTTCCTACACTATTAAAATTCCAGGAGCCAATAAATAATTTTCATTTTTCTTCTCCTTGTCCTTTCCAACTTCATTAGTTTGAGATTTGAAATGGTTCTGAATCTAGGAGCTCCTTGGCTAAGAGAAAAAACGATAAGCAGTAACCTAGAATAGGAGCAAAAGGAAAAACTGCCTGTATGAAGGATGGGAAACGTTTTAGACCTTAATAATCCACAAGTGTAGAGAATGGGTCTGGTGCTCATCTGCCCCACGGGACCGGGGAGGTCACATGGATGAGGGAAGCAGCAGAGGGCGGGTGGATTAGGAATGGTGGGGCCTCGAGGAGTTTGGAGCATGCCTGTCTCGTAAAGACAGCAACAGCTCCTGTGGCCCACGTAGGCCTCGTTATGTAGGAATGGGGCTCACTGTTGCTAGATCTTAGAAAAATTTCAAGAGAAACATGCAGTCTGAATTCCTATGTGAAGTTCGTTCTTTCTTTCTTTCTTTCTTTCTTTCTTTCTTTCTTTTAAAGATTTATTTATTTTTATTTGAGAGAGCGAGAATGAGAGAGAGTACATGAGAGGGGGGAGGGTCAGAGGGAGAAGCAGACTCCCCGCTGAGCAGGGAGCCCGATGTGGGACTCGATCCCGGGACTCCGGGATCATGACCTGAGCCGAAGGCAGCCGCTTAACCAACTGAGCCACCCAGGCGCCCGTGAAGTTCTTAATTTAAAAATAGGCAAATAAAACATTTTTCTACAAACTGAATTTGGTTAGTAGGTGGCTAGCTTATAAGCCCTAATGTAGAAATATTTTGAACATGGGCAGTTAAACCCAGAAAACTAAAGACAAAAGACAAAGGTACATAATGTCTGAATTATTCAAATAGGCTAATGTTTTGCTGAAATCTAATGTTCTCATTTACGGCTGGATGATAATAAATATTTTAAATATTTTCCCCTAGTTTCAAGATTTAACTATACCATTCATTCATTCAAACAGTAAACACCTCACCTAGTTATTTTATTTGTTAGACATTAGTATGCAAAGTAAATGTGACAGTGTTAGCAAGGAGCAAATAGGGGAACTAAAACTGTACTGTGATGTCCTAAGTGCTGTGATAGTACTTAGTAGAAATTTTGGCAGGAGCAGAGATTAGAGAAATATTAATGCAATTAAACGGAAGATAATGGTAGTTCGGTCACAAGCTGCTTTTTAAATTCTTATTTTTAGGCACATTTAGTTCTCAGTGTGCAGTACCGAAGTCCTGTCTTCGGATGCGAGGCTTTTGGAAACCGCAGGAGTTCTTCAGGCATTTTTTTTTACCTTTTAAGAACAATCTTTGTGAAAATGACCTTAGATAATTTTTTTCTGAAATGTGTTTTGATCTGTGATGAGTTTGCAGCTCTGTCTGTAGAGTGTTTCTTGTCAGATCATCAGGCTCTGTAAAAACCAGTTAAGAGTGTTTAAAACATCAGAACACTCTGGTATTACCACTTTGCATCTCTTAATTTCTTTTTCTCTGATTTAAAATCCATTGTCTTAATGTGCTTCAATTGTTTGACTGTATCCAGAAAATCGCTTAGAGGTTTCATTCCTTCTGCCTGTTTTCACTTCTAATAGAGGTGCATCATCCGTATGGGCGTCTGCCGACCACACATTAACCTCTACATTCTGCTGCTTCTTTTTAAAGGTACGTAGGGAGTACAGGAAATTCTTCAGAGCCAATGCTGGAAAGAAAATTTATGAATTTACGCTTCAGAGAATTGTAAGTTTACACTTTCTTTCTTTTTTTTTTTTTTTTAAAGATTTTATTTATTTATTTGAGAGAGAGAATGAGAGACAGAGAGCAGGAGAGGGAGGAGGGTCAGAGGGAGAAGCAGACTCCCTGCTGAGCAGGGAGCCCGATGTGGGACTCGATCCCGGGACTCCAGGACCATGACCCGAGCCAAAGGCAGTCGCTCAACCGACTGAGCCACCCAGGCGCCCCTATTTCTAATTCTTTTTTTTTTTTAAAGATTTTATTTATTTATTTGAGAGAGAGAATGAGATAGAGCACGAGATGGGGGAGGGTCAGAGGGAGAAGCAGGCTCCCTGCTGAGCAGGGAGCCCGACGCCGGACTCGATCCCAGGACTCCAGGATCATGACCTGAGCCGAAGGCAGTCGCTCAACCAACTGAGCCACCCAGGCGCCCTTACACTTTCTATATAGCTGATTAGCGTTATTGGATTAATTAGTTAATAGCATCACCTCAAGAATAAGTGACTTGTTTGGTAACGGTTAAATCCTAGCTGTGACACTGAGGGATTCTGTCTTCTTTATCCTTTCCCCCCAAATTCAGGTAGAATTGTGTGAGGAAGTTATCAGTGGCCCACATATGATTAATAAAATAATCAATAAATTGTTCTTCTCTGGCTCCTGGGTGGCTCAGTCGGTTAAGCATCTGACTTCGGCTCAGGTCATGGTCTCAGGGTTGTGGGATCGAGGCCCCGCATTGGGCTCCCTGCTCAGCGGGGAGTCTGCTTGTCCCTCTCCCTCCCCCTGTGCCATTTTATTTTAATGTTCTTCTTTGACAGAGAGAACATAGTCTAGGGAAGGTGAACCCAAGCAAGCCAGGTATCTTAGTTCGGGCTACTATAATGAAAATACCACAGACTGTGTGACTTAAACAGTAAACATTTATTTCTCACAGTTCTGGAGACTGGGCAGCCCAGGGTCAGAATGACAGTATGTTCTGGTTCTGGTGAGGGCCTTTTCCTGGTTCCCTCACAGGAGAAGACGAAGAGAAGCAAGCACTTTCCTGGGTCTTCTTGAAAAGGGCACTAATCCTGGGAGCACTACTCCTTGTGACCTTATAACGTAATTTCCTCCCCAAGGCCCCGTTTCCTCATACTGTCCCATTGCGGGGCGAGGACTTCAACATAGGGATTTGAGGAGAATGCCAGCATCTTGCCACCCCTGCCCTGCGGCAAACAAGGCAGTGGGCGGAGGGGCGAAGGAGAGCCAGGCTGAGCCACTCAACCAGGGTGGGGTCCAACATTCCCCTCTGTCTTCCAGACAAGTGTATGTAGTGGTGGAGAGTGCAAACTCTGGAGCCAGCTTGCTCTGCCACGTGCAGATTTGTGACGTGAGCAGATTGCTTCTGTGAGCCTCACTTTGTCATCTGTGGTCGTAGAAAGCTCTTACAGTGCTGGCCCATCTCCAGTAGTCTAGAGTGGTGCTGCCCAATAGAACTTTCTGCAGTGATGAAAATGTTCTATATCCTCATGGTACCATAGAGGAAACTCTAGCCACGTGTGGCTAACTTGAAATGTAACTAATATGACTGATGAACTGGATTTTTAATTTTTTTAATTACTTAAGATTTAAATATCAACAGCCACATGTGGGTAGTGGCTACCTCTTAAACGATGCAGCTTTCCAGTGTTAGCTAGTGTAAGTATTCATGTTAATATTAACATTAGTGTTAGTGTTAGCATTCTTCTCTTCCCCTAACCATTTAGTGGAGCTTTGATTTTCCCAACCAAGACAGAGAGTAGAAAAGAGATTTTCCAGAGGAAATACAACATTGTATCACCTAAAACTTGCTAAATTCCACTAAAGACTGGTCTGTTTGATCCTGGCATATTTTACTCATCTGGCATTTTTTTTGTCAAATCCAACATAGGTGCAAAAATACTTCTTGGAAATGAAAAATAAGATGCCTTCCTTATCCCCAGTTGACAAGAACTGGCCACCAAGACCTTACCTATTCTTGGATTCTACTCACAAGGAGCTAAAAAGGATTTTCCACCTGTGGAGGGTAAAAAATGCCTTGTTAGGTTTTTTTTTTTTTTTCCAGAGACTCCTTACCGTGTATTTTGAGTGTTTGAGAAGTGTTAAGTAAAAGCACACTTTAACCACATTCTTCCTGTAGCCTCGAGGAGCTGCACCTGAGGACTACGGTGTTTTTGAACCATGCCTTGTACTTGGCTTTCTGTGAGAATTCCCAGAGCAGCCAGGAGCTCCCGTGGCTGTCTCCTCTCACCCTTGGCTGGAGCGGAGAGTGTGTGGTTTCATTCCACATTCCAGTTGCTTTAAAGGAGTTCAGGTTTTTGTTTTGTTTTGCTTTGTTTCTTTTTTTCATCTTTATCTGAAGGAATACTGCCAGAGATAGGATAATACAGTTTGAACATCTTCACCCGAGGTAGTGAAATCCTGCAGATCGTAAGAGATTGCTTTCTGAGACCTATTGGATACCTTCGTGAGAAGGTGCCCACCTTTTGATGGACTGGAAGAGAAGGCTTTAGAGTGCCTCACGAGACATTCGAGAGATTCAAGTTTCCCTCTACCTGAATTAAAGGGAAGCTGGAAATCTATTGGATAATGGCTTATAATTTAGCTTCCTTAATTTTATGAAAACATCCTGTTTTGTTTAGGTGTTGCCCAGCGTGAGTACATGGGATACTTGTATAGATGTTGACTTTATTTTAATAATTTGGTCAGTTGATGTATTAAATGCTAGCTCTGTACAAGTATCATTGGTCGAAGGGCTTCTAGTTAGTAAGTGAATGATTGATGGACATGTCTCCCAGGAAGCTCTTTTCTACCGGGCACTGTAGGCTTGTCCCTTACCAGAGTCACATATGCAGAGTGACATTATCACTGATTAGTGTCATATTGGTACCCGCTCAACATGTGGAACTAGACTCTCACTTCCGTCCCCTCGCTTAGTGAGTCACTTCGGTGAGATGCATCATGTCTCCGTGCTCATCTCCCCCCCTTTGGAGTCTGACGGTGGAACTGTTTTCAGGAATAACGATGGGGAGCCTCTCATGCCAGGGGTCTGCTCTGCCTCTGCTCCCCACTGGCTCCTGGCCCCTGAATCTTGCCCGTACCTCCCTTGCGTTGGGGGTAAAGAATGAGAGGGATGTGTTTAGTCCTGAAAGGGCGGCCAACAATGCTGACGTGCCTTTATACGATTATATCGGTGGCTCTCAGCTGCATTTGTACCTGAATTTCTTCGAGTTCATCTAAAAACCTGGCCTGCCCCTCCAGCCACCCCCTGTCTCCCTCCAGTGCCATCTCAGAATCCAGGTGGAGGGGAGACTTCTCAGGTCCCATGTCCACACTTTAAGATGGTAGTGGGGGGTGCGGAGAAGGATTTTTCCAACCAATGGTTGTAGCATGTTTGTGAGTCATGAAATCAATTTTTAGTAGATTACTGACCAGGGTTGTAAAATGAAATATGGTAGAATAAAAATAATGGGGTACAGGACGTGTTGAAAGTATTGTCTTATGAAGCTTTTGTGTCCGTTGTCTGTCTGTGTGTGTGTAAATGTGTGCAGTGAGTTGTAATGTACAGTGTTGTTGTTATTGCGGGTCTTTGTGAAAGAGTGTGACAGACTAATAAGGATTAAAGGATTGGGGGGAAGCTGACATCATAGTGGGAGGATCAGTACTCCCAGCAGGACCCACGCAGCAAGGCCCTGTGTGTTTTGAAGAAGCATCCCAAGTTCCACAATACAAACAATAGTTTTTATGACATTTTCTAAGACCGACCTTTTAAAACCCAGAAAGGAAAAATGCTCTTGGTTTTTTTAAATGGGTATTTGTACACATTTAGTCTTACTCTTGATGCTGTTAAATGGACTTAGCATATTTAAGAATGAATAAAGATTTATTTATATAAGTGATTATCTTTTTCCCTCCCCTTTTTCATTTCTCACAGTGTAAAAAATACAGGGACCAATTCACAGACCAGCAGAAACTTATTTATGAAGAAAAACTAGAAGCCAGTGAACTCTTCAAAGACAAGAAGGCTTTATACCCATCTAGGTATTATGGCTTTGCTTTACCCATAAAAGTCAGCATTTTAAAAGTTTCTCAAATGTATTTGTAGGTCTAGCTGAGTTTGATTTTAGTAATCCACGAGAGGTTTTTAATTTTATGAATTATTTTATGATCAGCTGGATATGAATACACATAAACACATTTGGGCAATGGCTTTCATAGCATACTTTAATGAAATGAGATTACATTTGTTGGTTTTACTTCATTGGCGTTAGCCTGAACACTTCTCTAAATAATTAGAAGTTGTCCTTTAAAATACAAATTACATAGGCTATTAAGATAAATTTACATTGTAAATTCCTGTTAGTTCTCCATTGTTTTCAGAGACCTGCGGGATCAATTTCTGTGGGCAATCTACTGTCATCCCATTCCAGTCTTACTCGAACAAGCTGGGTCAGGCTCATTTGCATGATAATGAAGAGTGACCCATCACCCTCTGAATATTGCCGCAGTCCTGGTCTGTGATGGCCTTCGCTTGGCTAAGTCCTTGGGTACGATGTTAGCGGCCTGTGCAGTCAGATCTGTTCCTTTATTGTAGACACCAAGTGCTCAATAAAAGAAGGAACACCAGTTAAGTTTGCCAAGTGAAATCGTTGGTAAAGACCGCTTACCTGAATATCCTTACATCTCCCAAGTTCATCATTTCTCCCCCAGAGTTCATACCCCTTTTTCATCCAATGTTTCTAAAAAAAAAAGTTAGATTGGACAATTTCAAGCCAAATCTCTAACAACTTTTAGCTTCTCCCAAAGGATGGCCTAGAAATGAGAAAGCATTATATGCTAAGTATATTCACATGTATTACATATGCTGTGTTTATATTCTCAGTGTCTTTACACACAATTGAAAGCTCTTCCTTTGAAAAGTTGAAATAAACATTGTTGCCAGGCTCATGTGGTTTAAATATTTTAAATGACCCAACTTGCTGGGTTAGCTGATGGTCTGTACTCCCTTTGAGTCGAACGTAGCATCTAAATCCAAAGTTGTCCAAAGTGCCTGCTATATAAAGCACATTCAGACATGAAAATGGCCTATATACTCTCTCCAGCAACTAATTCATTTAACTTTTTCTTTATAGATTTTTAAATTGTAGAGTAATTGTCTTAATTAACAATCCCTGTGGATGACACTTCAGAAACTGGAAAGAGAAAAATACATTTGTGAAGAAACAAATTCAAAGGCTCTTAGCACTTTTTATTATTAAAAACATGTTTTAATGTGAACAACAGGAAACAAATACTAACGTCAAGCCAAGTCCTTCTGGGGTAATTCTGTCCATTTTCAGGGATGGTGGTGCGCTCAGCCAGCAGTAGTCGGAGGGGAGGAATAGTGACACCCTCACGCTGTGGTGGGTGTCAGCCTTTTATATGCTGGGAGCCATGAAACACTGACCACCTATGTGGAGTTTTCTTCCCTGATCCTCCACCCACAACACAAGCATTTAAAGTTGTATTTGCAAATTGCCAGAACTTTATAGCTCAAAATGAAGCCACGGTTGTGTTTTTTGGGGTGGTTTTTGTGTGTGTGTGTATGTGTGGGGTTTTTTTTTTTTTGGTGTCTTGGAAGAGGCTTCCCTGAAAGTGTCACCCCACAAGCCTTTAGGGAAATGGGCATCTTAGTACATGATTGTGCTGCTTGCAAGATGGAGTTTGTCTGAAAGAAAACCGCTCTGGTTCTGAATGTTTACCTTGTCCATTTAGGGGCATGTCCTTGGAGGAAAGGCCTGATCTAGAGCCAGAGTTACATGATAGTATTAAGTGCTCTGTAGTTCTCTTCTAAAGTGCTCGCTCTGGATCTATGCTCCCCTGGACGGCCTCTTGGTTTTCTTATTCTCTGCAAGAAAATAAAGTTTCCCTTTGAAACAGGTGTTGGTAATGATCTGTGCCCTTTTTTCCATTGCCACATATTGTTGAAAGGCACTAAAAGTCCTTTGTGGGCAGCTGTTAACTTTCTATTACCAGATTAGAAGGAATTGCCTTTCCCTTCACATGAGATCATGCACGTGGGTCCTGACTCTCTTTCTTGTGACTGGTTTCTAGCTTGATTGTTCCAGACGATAAGATTTTTATCAAAGTGCTACCTACAAAATGCCATGATCCCATCAAAAGTATATTTAAAGTAGGTTCCAGGTTTCATTTCCAACTTGTATTTAGGACACGAATAAAATGGATAAAATTAACTTTGATGAAGTTATGCGCTTCAGAATCAGCTGACGTGTTACCTTTCTCCAGTAATGCCTCCATCCGGTACTGTTTCTAATGTGAGGGAATTTTTTCCTATAGCGTTGGGCAGCCATTCCAAGGAGCTTACCTGGAAATCAACAAGAATCCCAAGTATAAGAAACTCAAGGATGCCATTGAAGAAAAGATTATCATTGCTGAAGTTGTGAACAAAATTAACCGTGCCAATGGGAAGGTAAAAATGCTAACCCTGAAGACCTGTAAGAAGTGTTTATCAGTTGGGACAGTCATCTTTCGTTTTCTGATTATTCCGATTTGCCTTTCATATTCTCAGCAGAGTTCCTATAAAGGGAGCTGCTTCCCCTTACCTTTAAGTTTAGGTGGAATTTTGCTTGTTCTCTGAAACTTATATGACTTAAGATCTATTGTCTATGTTTTTAGTGTGTTCTCAGTTTACCTAGGTATGTGTGCTGAAAGATACGGAATCAAATGGGCATTTCTGCAAATAACGAATGCTTTAAAACTCATGGACCCACTTGGGGTATTTTTGATCATTGGTTTTACATCCTTATTTGTTTTGTTTTGTTTTGTTTTGTTTTAGAGCACATCTCGGATTTTCCTCTTAACAAATAATAATCTCCTTCTTGCTGATCAAAAGTCCGGGCAGATCAAATCAGAGGTTCCCTTGGTGGATGTGACCAAAGTATCGATGAGCTCACAAAACGATGGCTTCTTTGCTGTCCACCTCAAAGAGGTAAAGGTTCAACTATTGATTTGACCTAAAGATTTCTGCATTTTCCCAATCTCTGAGCCACTGAATTAAAATTTTCCACATCTGAAGAATGTTATTACTTGAAGTTTATACATTATAACCTTAATTTGCAGATTTTGGCTATATTCACTCTCACATAAAATCTCAGGCTTGGTTTTTCAGTAATTGAAATTGATTAACTGAAATTGCATTGATTAATCACATTTATTAACTTGTTCATTGAGTTCTAATTTCACTGAGCAGCTTTGGTATGCACTCACTGTGATGTGCATTATTTTGAGAAAAACCATGGAAATATCAGGAAATTTTATGCTTCCTCCTGTTGTTTATTCTATATACCAACTTAGTAAATGTCCCTTTGTTCATCTTTAATTTGTGAGTTTTTTATTAAAGAAGGCAACCACAATAAAACAATTGCCTAATAATTTTGACCTAAAGATTTTTTAATGTTTTGTGCTTTTTTAGTTTAACCTAGGACCTCCTGATCTGAATGGCGTAGCTAAGAATGCAGGCTCTGGAGTTGGTCTCACTAACTTTACAGTGACCTTGGCCAAGTCATTTAACTTCCATGTGCCTACGTACTTTTTCTCCTCTTTAAAATGGAGAGAATACTAGTACTACTTCATAATGTTGTTATAAGGAGTAAATGAGACACTATGTATGGTGCCTACCATATAATAAATAGTCCCTGAATAAGTAGATGTCAGCAAATATGAATCATATTTAGGGACATGCATCTAGTTGGTGGCCCACCTGTCTTGCTGCTTCTACGCTTAGGAAAATCCTCTATGCTCAGTTCAGCCTGTTTTCCCTCCTGTGGGTCTTAACTTAAAAGCAGCATATCCAATCCTAAGACAGTGATTATCAACTTTGATTACACTTTATAATGCTAATGCCCAGGCCATACCCCACCCACCCCCCACTCCCACCAGATCAGAGTTTCTTGGAATGGGGCACAAAACCATCCTACTGTTTGCAAGCTCCCTGTGTAGCTTAGGTGAAGAGTCACTGCCCTCGGATATTTGTTGGGAGTGTTGTTGTTGTTGTTCTTATTTTTTTTTTTAACCAAATCACTGAGGAATTTTTTTAAATAGCTCTTTCAGAATGAGTGATAGGTTAGGTCAGTGCTTCTCAAGCCTGAATGTGCAAACAAATCACTCAGGGATCCTGTTTGGTTCCTATGCAGCGGGCCTACGGCAGGGCCTGAGGCTCTGCTTTCTAACAAGCTCCCCGGTGATGCTGATGGTGCCTCTGGTCCATCTACCAACTTTTGGGTAGCACAAGGTTAGGTAACCTTACTAAGAGTGCTCGGAGCAAGTTGGAAGAAATGCCGCTTTTGTTGTTATCGTTTATTTGGAAGAGTGGACTCCAGTAGCTGATGTTTTCAAGAGACTGTAAATACGTGTTCAGCCAAGCTTGTAAACATTTACCTCCTCAGCTATCCTTAATTATGATAGTCTACCTCTTGCTTTGTCCTTGCAGGGGTCTGAAGCAGCCAGTAAAGGAGACTTTCTCTTCAGCAGTGATCACCTGATTGAAATGGCCACCAAGCTGTATCGGACGACTCTCAGCCAAACCAAACAGAAGCTCAATATCGAAATTTCTGATGAGTATGTACATAATCGTTTGAATGTGCCGTCTCACTTTTAGCTTTATTGCTGTAGTCGAGCACTTCAGTCTCATCTGTTTATACAGCCGCTCCCTTTAAGCAGCGAGTGTGTCTGGGGTTTGTTCTAAATGGTGGATGGGCAGTGAATGGTGCTGGTCTAGTCCTTGCCTTCATGTCCCGGACATCCTGGTGAAAGAGATAAATAGGCATAAATAAGAAATAGGAGATATGACTTTGGTTAGTGACAAGTGCCTGTGGAGGGAAACAAAGCAGGGTAAGGGCCAGAGGGTGCTCTATTTTTGATAGGGAGGTCAGGGAGCCTTGTTTGATGCCGTGACATTTGAGTCAAGACTGGAATCAAGGGAGCAAGCCAGGCAACAACCCGGGAGGTGCCTTCCAGGGCAGAGGACAGCAGGTGTAAAGGCCCTGAGACAGCAGTGAAAGTGGCAGAGTGAAATGGTAGGAAAAGACTCGGGAGAGACAGGCGGAGACCCGGCCATGTAGAGCTGGAGGAGCTTAGCTAAGGAGCTGAGATTTTACTGTGGATGATGGAATGCCATTACGGGATTTAAGCAAGGGGGCGGCATGATCCAATTTGTGATTTTCAAAGATCGCTTTGGCTGCAGCGTGGAAAATAGCTCTAGGCAGGCAAGAGTGGAAGCAGAAAAAAGTTAGGAGCTTCTCTGAGCTGTCTAGGATGATGTGGCTTAGGCTAGGATGGGAGTGGGAGGTAGTGAGAAGTAGTCATATTCCAAATGTAATTTGGAGGAAAACAAGAGGACTTATTAACAGATTAGATGCTAGGTTTGGGGCTTCAGCCCAAATGGTGGTACCATTTACTGCAATAGATGACACTGAAGAAAGAGGGGTTTGGGGGTGGCCAGGGGGCGTGAAGTCAAGAGTGCTGTTTTGGATGTGTTATATTTGTGACGCCTTTTTTTAACCAAATCACTGAGGAATTTTTTTAAATAGCTCTTTCAGAATGAGTGATAGGTTAGGTCAGTGCTTCTCAAGCCTAAATGTGCAAACAGATCACTCAGGGATCTTGTTTGGTTCCTATGCAGCGGGCCTATGGCAGGGCCTGAGGCTCTGCTTTCTAACAAGCTCCCTGGTGATGCTGATGGTGCCTCTAAAATTCTTTCTAAAATAATTTCATACCCATTCTTATCCCTGCATAAGCCAGACTAACCTTCCTTGATGTTTTGGGATTTACAAAACCTTAGGTCCATCATCTGTTCTCATTGTACATTAAGAATGATGTTTAAGTTGGTGGGAGATTGACCTTTATGTATCCTCTACATTGGAAATTGCAGTTTGGACTAGATAACTTTTGTCATTGGATCCTTTCTCATATTAGGGGAAAAAAAATATAATGACTAGTCATGCTCCAGTCAGCTAAGATTTTAAACTGTTAGGGCCCGTTAGAACTTTAAACTCCCTTTAGCTGAAATTTGTTAGAGCTTGAGATGCAGGGCTTCAGTTTTGGTGGAACTGATCATTCCCACCAATCCTGGGAAGATTCTGTTTGTTCCAGAGGCAGGAGCTCCTTGGTACATGGATGACGCAGCCTCCTGGTTGGCTCACCCCATTAACGAGGCTGTCTTTACAGAGAAAGCCACGTCAACATCCAGGGCACAAAGGATTGCTACTTTTAAAGCATTTCCCAAGCTGGTATTCTAAGAACACTGCCTCTGCTGTGAAGAAAGTATTCATTGGTAGAAATTTATAATCCTTCTTTACTACAGCTCTTCCCAGATGCACCATCCTGTCGTACATCATGACTCTCCTGAGGGGCTGGGCGGGCTAGCGTGAGCTGTGTTCCTCATACAGAATCAACCACAGAGCCCCTTCTGTGGTTCTCACGGTTTGTGGGTGAGGCACATGATTGTGGGAGAGTTCGCTCGTGGGTGGCAGAGACCCTGCCTTGTCATGGGGGCAGGGGGGGTGGGGTATGATGTTCTGGTTGTGTCAGCTTGCAGTAAACATGCTTGTGTGCGTGCAAGTTGACAGGGTGGCCGTGTGAAGAAAAGAAAACATTTGGTAGCATTGTAAACCAGTCCATAACACCTTTCTTTCTCCAGTTCCTAATTGTTGGTTGGTTTCACAGAAACAGAGTAGCTGATGGAACCCCGCGTAGCAATGGTGGGTCCCTGCCCAGGCAGCAAGGGAGCTGTGGGGCAGAGCAAGGGCCCAGGGAGCCCGTTTCCTGACCTTGAGAGCTCATGAGCAGGGATTATACGCCTCCTTGGAGAACATTTTAAATTTAAACAAAATTTGATAAAGTCATGGGCACCCCTGCCCATGTATTTTTTTCAGCCGTAAGTGGCTTTAATCCATTTCAGTGCCGGCTCTACAGATTAGTATTATAAACGGTGTGCAGCTCAGTGACCAAAACCTTCCTCAGCGTGTCCTTCTCAGAAGTAGAAGTAATTATTTTAACAAACCCAGTCTCCATAGCCATTCTGGATAAACTGGATGTCGATTTCCAGGAGGAGAGGCAAAGTCCTATTTACTCCTTAGAGCAGTTTTAACCTCCTTTGTAATTCCCAGTCCTTCAACTCCCAAACCTTTCAGTCCATAAATAGATTGCATTTTAAGGATGACTTTAAATGTGTAATACTTCTAAAAAATTTCTAAAAATGAAGTCCTGAACGTGTTGAAAAAACCCAAAGTGAATTTGTTCTATTAAACATTTTAAACACATGTGCATATATGTACATGCATACACACACAGACGTATCATTTTAACTGGTACAGTTGTTTCTGCGAATATTTTAAATCGAATCATCTAAATTCTTTTCGCTGTGAAGTTCTTGCTAGTATTGATGCTATGAAAGGATGCGTTCAACATTATTGTTTGCTGGAGAATATGATTCTCTGAGTACCGTGTCCTTCCTGTAGGCCATGCTTCAGTTTTCTCTTCTATGAAATAGAAACATTACTTGCCTCATAGGATTATTTCAAAGTTGCGTTAATATATGTAGCTTACTAAGAACAGTGCCGTGCATGGCAAATACTCTGTGTATCTTCGCTATTATTGTTGTTTCTGGAGTGAATTGCACTCATGAATCGTGAACATGAAGACAGCCAGTGCTAAAGTTATGGGGAAAAGAACTCCCTATACTTTTATTATACTAAAAGTAGTCTTTGAAAATTAAAATGTCAAAATATCTGATTTTTTAAATGTGTGTATTGGCATTAGACTTGAAAGGTGCTTTCTTTCTTTGAGGTGCGTAGATATAAGTATCTATATCTGTGATGCGATTTTAGAATGATAGCTCTTTCTTTTCAGTGCCTTCAAGTTGAAAAGGAACAGCCTATTTAGAAGCTCGGAAGTACTATCCTGCTAAAGCAACTGATAAATCAGGAGTTTATGTGTCACATTTCAGTCCAGTAGATAATGTTTGCAAAGCACGGGCTCTGTAGACCTTGACACTGAGACTAATGTGCACAGAACAGAGCTGTTTTGATGTTTGCACTTGGGTGGATCCAGTGAGCGTGTAGTCTGTCACATGGTTGGTAGAGTGACTCAGCTATATGCCAACAACTCAGAAAACTGTTCCCTGAGAAGCATACTGGATATGTGGTAACATTGTGCTGTAACTCTTTGGTGGAAAGAAGAGCACTGGCTTTGAGCTGGGAGAGCCTGGGTTCTGGACCAGCCATGCCACTCTCCTGCCTCCGCAAATATGCTGTCCTTGCGGGCAAGGACCTCATTGGATAGGTCTGGGTGTCCCCCCCCCAGCACCCAGCCAGCACCCAGCCCAGGAGGAAGGCGGTATGTGTGTGGTAGGAAGGTGTGATGGGTAATCTTACGGACAAGTACTTGATCCCTGACGGTCTGTGACAGGAAAGATTCGGACTAGAATATGGTTTCCCACGGTGTCCCACACATACTACGGGTAGGATAAGAGGGGGCTTTGGGTGTACACTGATAGATTTTGTAAACTTTATAGTTTATGTATATATATAAATTATATATATATTTTAATATCCATTTAATATCCATTTGGTGGATATCGAAAAACATTAAGGGGCAGATTGAACTTGTGATTTTATTATTATTATTACTCCATAGCTATTTTGAAACATTTATTTATGATAGAAACAACTATTAGCATAGTATGTGGATATAACAAAAATTGTTTAGGAAATAGGTGAGTAACCAGTGTCTGGAAATCATAGTCTGGAGGATCTCTAGACCCCTTTCCTGAAATTTTTCATTTCATTTTCTGAAATTGGCGATAATTTAATAGGACCCGACCCCCAGCTTATATTTTTGCTATGCAAAAATGGAGAAAAATGGGAGATTTTTTTCCATTTGGAACATGGAAATAATTCTTCTTAGGCCTTCTCCCCTTGCTGGAATATGGTGAGTTAATGAACTTCGGTTTCCTTGGGGCTAAGTGGTGACTTCAGGAAGTGCTGAAAGAAAGTAGGAATGTTTGTCAAGGTCACTATCCATTAAGAAACAAAAGCTCATGTTAGTATCATCATCCGCTCTTGTGTGTGTGCTTTTCTCTAATTTGTCCTATTCTCTTCTTCTAGGTTCCTGGTGCAGTTCAGACAGGATAAAGTATGTGTGAAGTTTATTCAGGGCAACCAGAAAAATGGGAGTGTCCCAACGTGCAAACGAAAAAACAACCGTCTCCTGGAAGTCGCTGTTCCTTAACTGGCTCCTCCTCTCTGCTTTCACGGACTTGTTTCCTTGTAACAGTGCAATTTTGTTTTGTTTTGTTTTGTTTTGTTTGGGATTCATTGTATGTTTGGGAATTGCCAAAGGCTAATACTGTTAGAGACCCTTGGCAAAATAAAAAAAAAAAATATTTGACTAATCAATTTTTATTATTGGAATAGTTTTAAACCTTAAATTACACAGTCTGTCCTGGGACAGGATTATAGAAGCTAACAGTGTCTCTGCCATGTCATACGTGTTCTTTGTTTAGCCATCATGTTAGATCTGTGTACCCACGATCAGCATATTGCTCATAAATCATTACTATTTCTAAGTAGAGGAAATGGTCCCAAGCGGTAGTTGCATTCGTTCATCAAATATTTATTGAGTGCCTCCTCTTTGCTAGGCACGGTGCTGGATGGCGTGAAAACTGACTAGGAAGCCTTTTTGTTTTTCAGGCCGCGGCATCTGGCTGGCTTGTGCTGTCCTGACTAGGGCTAAGAGAGGTTGAAGACGTTGAAACCAAAACAGTACCTATTGCTGATGGACAGCATTATTCCGAATCCCGTAGTGTGATCTTAACCAGTCCACTTCAAGAAGGGCTTGGTCCTAGGAAGTAGAAATGTATGACCGGGTAAAATGCCCCTACATGTGGTTTCTATTTGAAAAGAGAAAACTGACATTGCAACAGGACTTTTAATTTGTTCGGCTCTTGTCGTTGCTTTTAACAGTAGAAAACAGAGTCATTCTTATTGTAGAAAAAGTGACAGAAGTAGTCCAATAAGATTATATTTTCCTGTTTCTGGTAAGCCTCATATATGATCCTACATAGGCTAATATTTGCAGAGTGTTGTTTTCACCCAAATTTGAGTAAATATTTTAAACAGCTAATACAGTCAAGGGCTGAAAGCCTTTCAGATAATGGCAAGCATTCTGTATGATGTGAAATAAACATCCAAGATCTTTTTTGAAAGTTTTATTTATAATATACATTTTGTAGGAGAGGGTGATTGGTACAGGGTGCATATTTTAGTCAAGGATCAAAATTGTGTATGTTAATTTGCAGGACTTTTTTTTTTTTTTTTTCCAAATTTACAATAAGGATTCATTTTTGGAAACTACATTTTAAACTTTGGAATCAAATTGTTTCTTATTTGGGAGGATAATGTATATACATTGGTATGTTAAATAATAAAACTGTTCTAATTTGGTGCCATTTCCTGGATCACAACTGTATTTTTGTTTTTCAAGGTATGTTCTCATGTTGTGTGTCAATGTAATATTGCACCGAAAGGCTTTACCGTTCAAACATTATATGTTTTCTGTGTAATTGAATTTCACTGACCTTTTATAAACCAGAAACATTCATTGAAAGTATGGGGGGGGGGCACTTTCTTTTAATTTTTGAACTTGAAAAAAATCGCTCCCATAAAGAAATTCTCAGAAGCCTTTGTGTTTATTGGTGCTGGTAGAGGATAGCATTACTTTCTCTCAGTCTACCGCATCATGTACCTAGAGCGGTAGATTGGTAGTTCCTGAAATAGGTGATTAGAAATCTGGAACTGAGGTGTTTTTAAAAAATGTTTAAAAAAATATGTAATACATTCACACTGTTCAACGTGCAAGTAAGGATAGATAGAAATACAATGCAAATTTTCCATCCCATCGTTCCCTCATCTGCTCAGTTCCCATGCCCCCTCTCAAGTTAACCGTTGTCTTTACTTGCTTTTGCACAGCTTTATGCATATGTTTCCAAAACAAAATAAAAATATAGATTCTTACCTCCTGCTTTAGTAGACAAAAGCTAATACTTTATATAGACTTTGTTCTTTACTTTGTCTTTTTTGCTCTTTGTTCTTTTTTTTTTTTTTAAAGATTTTATTTATTTATTTGAGAGAGAGAGAATGAGAGACAGAGAACATGAGAGGGAGGAGGGTCAGAGGGAGAAGCAGACTCCCCGCTGAGCAGGGAGCCCGATGCGGGACTCAATCCCGGAACTCCAGGATCATGACCTGAGCCGAAGGCAGTCGCCCAACCAACTGAGCCACCCAGGTGCCCATCTTTGTTCTTTTTGACTGTGGCACAGTCTTCTGTTGTATGGATAAGTTTATCCAGTCCCCTCCTGATCATCACTGGGTTGTTTCCCAAATGGAAATTTAAGTCCACGACAGAGAGGACCAATATTTCATGGGTCTACTTGTTAAATTTTCCTAAATACCGTCTCTGCAGATTGTTCATTATGATGATTAGCAACAATAGCAGTTAGCAACAATACATTTCCCAGAGTTTATTTCCAATAGAGAAGCCATTTAATCTCAGACTTTGTGGTAGGTGTTCTGCATGGATTTAAAAATATCTCTACAAAGTAGTTTTAAATGACAGTGTTTCTGCATATAATCCATCACTTCTAGTCTTGTCATTGAAATACCCAATAATTTTTGGTCACGAAATTCATTCTAGGTGGGTTGTGACTTGACTTGAAAAAGCTTTTCCAAACCTTAGCAAGAAAGCTTCTGTGTGCACCAGGGTGAAATGTGCCTCCTCAGAGTTTCCTAAACCAAGCCCGCCAGCTGGGGAGAGCGCCCTTGAACAATACAGACCGGAAGTGAGAGTTCTTAATGTTTTCAGTACATGTAGCGATGCCTTGTTTTTAAATTTTTTAATTTAAATTCAATTACTTAACGTATAGTATACTACTGTCGTTTCAGAGAGAGAGGTCAGTGATTCAGCAGTCTTCTATAACACCCAGTGCTCCTTACATCCCGTGCCCTCCTTAATGCCCATCACCCCATTACTCCGTCCCCCCACCCCCTCCCTGCCTCCTTTTTTTCCCCATAGGGAGCAAGCGCTAGTGATTAGGATAAATGTAATTGTTGCAAGCAATTATTTTGAGATTTTCAGCTCAGAAATAGAATATGAAACCCTGGTCTTTGGTCATGAGATTAGAGAGGGGTCAGAATCACAAGGAAAGCTTGTTTTTAAAACTCAACCAAACAACCATGCAGATACCTGGGCTATAGCCCTTCCCAACTGAATCAGAATCTCCAGGGCAGAGCTTGGAAATAGGCGCTTACAAGAAAATCACCAGGTGATTAAGCATCTTGGAGTTTGAGAACCACCAAGAAAAATACCAGCGCTTCTCGGCAGCTACACAGCCATGTGTCTTAACAAGTCCTCTGGGAGGTGATTCTGCTGCAGCCCTCGGGTGTCGGAACTGGCCTGGAGCGTCTCTAGCCGCGCAGCTCGGGCCGGCCCTACCCGTGCTTCCCGCCCGCCCCCTGTGCCTGGCTAGCGGTTAGTGACAAACCGTGCCGTTGCCCTATTATAATGGGGGAGCAGCTGGTATTCCCTTATCTCTGAATTTCTGCCCCTGTCCTGCAATGGGGAATGGAAGTATTGGCGGCACTCCACATTTTCTGCTCTGGCCTGGCCACACGGCCCTAACTTGTTCTCAGCCACCACTTCGTTGCCCAGCCCCTGGAGTGACCTGTAGGCCCAGATGAAGAGAGAACTGTGCTTGAAAAAAAGTAACGAGGTAATGAGTACCAAATATCAGACCATGGTCGTTCCCAAGTTTGCAGTGTGGGTGACACGCTATCCTTGACTTCGACTTCCACATACCATGGGGCAAGAAGCAACATGGGAAAGTGACTATCTAAATAGACTGGTTACAGTCTTGGGTTCCCCACTCTTGGAATAATAACTTGGACCTGGTACTCGGATGTAAAACCTTGAGCTCGAGTTTGAATACCTTTTCTCATATCGCAGGGGTTGTGGGGTATTTCCATGATACCAAAGCACCAGGGCCAAGAGTTCTGAGAATCAGAGGCACCTCGTCAGTATGGAGGATTTGGCTGATACCTAGGAGGATAAATGGTTTTATTATGCCATCTCAATTAGTATGCTGAGTGAGAACTCTCAAATTCATATAATTAAGTATAATTATGGTAATTAGAATATGGTTCAAAATTCTTGGTCTAAATAGGATAGACAACAACATCTTTTATATGCTGCTTTGCACAGAATAGGTAAGATGTTTAGGTTCTAACCTACTCCAATCGCAAACACTCTTTAAAATGGTATATACTGCTGGGGAAAGATTTTGTAAATTCCTAATGTGTTTATTACGTTTTTACAAGAAGGCATTGTAGTAAGAGCCTTTTGTTTTTAAGCTGGGGGTTGTTTTTCTGCTAACGACTGCAGCACTCAGATTCATTCAAACCATTAGGTGCAAGAGATAAAAAGGAAGAGAAAGGAGAGTCATTTTGCTCTTCTTTCCTCCTGGTGAGAAAAACAGCTGTAAGTTTTCATTGTCCATTTGAAGGTATAATGCTGAGGAGTTAATATGTTATCACTGGAGGGGCTCTTTCTTTGGATCTCCCTGTAGTGATTCCATTATGTGCTGTCCATTCTCAGGTTCTGGTTTTCGAAACTTCAGGAAGCCATGGCCTTGACAAGCCTGCACTCACTTTCTGGTCTCATCAGCTTCTAATCCAATAGCCACTCAGTAGAAAATTAATGGCTTTTGAGTTGGTTTCCTGCAAATCTTGGAATTGTTTGCCTCCTTCTCTTTGGTTTGAAGATCATTTTCAAAATCTGGAGTTAATCACAGTACAGCATAAACCACAATCTCTTCCTCATTAACTTTTTTTGCTGCCATGGTGGCCAGATCTTTGCTCAGCTCCATAAAATCCAGCAAAAATCTAGCTTTGTAACCAAGGAAAACAGAATTATTTCCATATTCACCCAAAGGCCTGGCAGTACTGAGTGAAAGAAACATCAGCCAGCCAGCCACCTTACTTCACTTACTTAAAAAATGTTCTTTTGCCCAGTTTTGAAATATAATAGACATGCTACATTGTATTAGTTCTAGATGGATAACATAATGATTTGATATATGCGCATATTGTGAAACGATGGCCACAGTAAGTTTAGTTAATATCTATCACCTCATATAGTTATAATTCTTTTCTTGTGATGAGAACGTTTAAGATTACTCTCGAGGTCGTTCACTTATTTTATACTCACCCCAACTTCCCTTTTCTCTTCTTTCTTACTTCGTTTCTCTCACTAATTAGTGGATCTGGCATATTCTCTTTAGAAACATGTATTTTTAAATGACATACACAAATAAATGTACACATACCAGAAACATACCTATCAAAGAATTTTTACAAAGTGAACACATCCATGTACCTAGCACCCAAAACAAGAAGGTCCTTTGTCCACCCCAGTCACAAGTCCCCACAAAAGTAACTTTCTCTTGTTTTCTAGGACCATATATTAATTTTGTCCTTTTTTGTTTTGGGTTTTGTTTTTTTGCTGTTTCTTGTTTGTTTTTGCTTCATATAGATGGAATCATACAATATATGCTCTTCCTCTGGCCTTTCCCATTCAGCATTATAACTGGAATTCATTCACATCGTTGCTTGTAGCTAAAGTTTGTTCTGTCTCTATGATACTTCATAGTGTGCAGAGACTGCAATTTTGTAATCCATTTTGCTGTTGACGGGCATTTGGCTATGACGCATCTGCTGCTGCAGACGTTCTTGGACACGTCGGTGAATATCCGTCCACATATCTGCTGGGTATATACCTAGGAATAAAGCTGCCGGGTCATAGGGGAAGCTTATGTTCACCTTCAGTAGATTGCATCAAACTGACTTCCAAAGGAACTACCAGTTGACCTCCGCACCAGCAGCCTGCTGGGGTTGCATTTGCTGTACATCCTTGCCCCACCTGGTGTCATCAGTCTTTTTAATTTTGGTCCCCCTGATGGGTCTTAGCTTTAATTTGCATTTTCCCGATGATCATGAGCTCAAATACCTTTTCAGTATTAGCAATTTGTACATCATCTTCTGTAAAGTACCTGTTCAAGTAGTTTGCCTTTATTTTTTTCTGTTGGGATTGTCTTTTCTCTCTTTGATTTGTAGTTATATATTGGATACAAGATCTTTATCAGATATGTGTGTGGCATGTATCTCCGCAAGGTCTACAGCGACCTTTTTGCCAGTGTCTTTGGATGAACACGCTCCATTTCAGTGTAGTCCAGTTTACCAGTTCTTTGCTTTATGGTTCATACTTTTTGTTTCCTGTTGAAGAAATATTTGTTGCTCAAGGTTATGAAGGTATTTGTGGTTTCCTTTAGAAGCTTTATTGTTCTGCCTTTCATATTTAGCTCTTTAGTCTACTGGAATTGATTTTTTTTTTTTTTTGAATGATGTGAAGTAGGGAGTCAAGATTTTTTTTTTTTTCCCATATAGATAGCCAGTGGACCTGGTACCTTTAATTAAAAAGGCCATCCTTGCCTCACTGCACTGTTTTTAGATTCTTTTTTTTATTTTTTTTTTTAAGATTTTATTTATTTATTTGAGAGAGAGAGAATGAGAGACAGCAGGAGAGGGAGGAGGGTCAGAGGGAGAAGCAGACCCCCCGCTGAGCAGGGAGCCCGATGTGGGACTCGATCCCGGGACTCCAGGATCATGACCTGAGCCGAAGGCAGTTGCTTAACCAACTGAGCCACCCAGGCGCCCTGTTTTTAGATTCTATATTAAATTAATTATCTTCGTTTCAGTACTAAACCGTGTTAATTATTACAGCTCTAGAACTTGTTGGCCTGGTCATGTAGAAGTGAAATTTGTAACTCAGAGGTCCTATACTCTTATGAAAGCAGGGAATAATGCATTAAAACTAATAAATACACATGCGAGTATTTGGAGTAGTGATAGTTCATCAGAGTCCTGAAAATATGAACATAGCCCTTTTCTTCAGCCACAGGGCT